CTATACATGTACGTATAGAATTCTACAACTTACTTCATCTACAGGGATAATTTCCTGGACAACTTGTAACATACGAGGAATCACATTCTGTATGTATTTCTGAAAGATATTCTCAACAATTTGATCACACTTACATGTATATCAAACACTTCAATAGGATATATATTACTGAAAACACTTTGAAAGCACATTTATGAAAAAATAAAGTGCCCTGCCACAGCATGATACGCCCGTCAAATATATTGTTCAATAATCATAAATTGGTTAAGGTGCAAGAAAATCAGATAACATTGATTAACAGATTGACACAGATTTCAATGATCTAATTTCCATTTCTTATCATGTTTAAAATATTGTACATACATCTCTAAGAGACTTACAGTGTAGGGATTAATTATAACAAATAATACATCATATAATTCTAAACTGGCTGTGTTAGAACTTAACAAATATCCTTCTGCAGCTTTAAATTGTTTATTGCATATTTTATGGAATAATGGAAATGCTACAGTCTAATAAAAAAATCAAAAATAAATTAGTCTTTAGACTATAAAATTCTAAGTGAGACATGACTGCAATTTGTTGCAAATATATAAAAATTGAAATGTATTTTTTTTTTCAATGAACACATGTATAATTAATTTTAATTATATTATACAATACTAATTTAGTTTTAATCATACACTAAAACATCAATTTGTTTTAATTACATTGCATCAATTGAAAGATCTTTATCTGGACTATAGCCATCAAGAACTCTTAATTAACACAAGCAACTATGAGGCCATTTCCTTTTGCCCAACTCCCAAGAGATAAATTAAGATAACAGCTGCATGATCAGATATGCTCTTAGACTACCAGTTAGCTCCTGACAATAAACTCATTAATTTCTCTCTAATTTGACACGTGAATTTCTGCTATCAAAATTCTTGACCAGTGCTTGATAATTATGCCCATGAGACAAACTGAATTCCTCTCAAAACATTAACATTTGTTACAGATTGCTGTTAAAGTATATGATGAAAAAGTAAGTTTTTACTTAATTTAACATTTTTTAATAAGGATTAGTTTTAATTATATTATACAATATCAATTTAGTTTTTATCATACACTGTATTTTAAAGCATCAATTTGTTTTAATTACATTACACCAATTGAAAGATCTTTTTCTGAACTAGCCATCAAGGACTCCTAATTAACACAAGCAACTATGAGGCCATTTCTTTTTGCCCAACTCCCAAGAGATTAAAGATAAAGATAACAGCTGCATTATCAGAGATCTGCTCTACCACTTAGCTCCTGACAATGAACTCATTAATTTCTCTCTAATTTGACATGTGAATTTCTGATATCAAAATTCTTCTTGACCAGTGCTTGATAATTATGCCCATGGGACAAACTGAATTCCTCTCAAAACATTAACATTTCTTACAGATTGCTGTAAAGTATATGATGAAAAAATAAGTTTTTACTTGATTTAACATTTTTAGATAAGGATACCACTATATTTTTACATTTTTTAGGATTATGAAATTTAAAATTTCAAAGACTTAGTTTTTTTAAAAAATTCACTTAAATTAAAGGTCACAGTGACCTTGAAATAGGCCGCGACACACCTTCTACCTAAGATGTATAATTTTGCCAAGTTTGAAAGCTCTAGGTCTTATAGTTTTCTAGTTATGAGCCGGACAGGATTTTTCCATATTTGGCCATAGCATCTTTATTAAAGGTCAGAGCGACCTACTTTTTGTGGGCGACACACCGTCTACCCAAGAAGTATCAACTGTCAAAGTTTGATAATCCTAGGTCTAACAGTATTCAAGTTATGAGCCGGACACGAATGGACAGCTAGACGGACGGACGGACGGACATGAAGCCTATAACATAATACGTCCCGTCTTAAGACGGGCGTATAAAAATGGTTCCTTACTTTTACGCTGTATTTCACTACGCAATTTAAAAAATATATGGTAAAACTGTGCAAACATTTTCAAAATACAAACTTCTAAATCTCATTGTTGAACTGTAAAAATAACTTCTGAATGATTCCAACATTTGAGGTGTTGGACATAAACTGGTCACAAAACTGAGGGCTTTTAATAATACTGGACATAATACGGAAAGGTTGTAAGCAAATATAAATTGATAAGAAAATCAGAAAGAAGAAAACAACCACAAAATACCAATGAGTTGCCTCTAACCTACAGAATATTTTCAATTGTTCAGCATATGATTATCTACATATTCCCTCACCATTTTTGTCTTTAGATTTTTATGTTACAACTTAAAAGAAACCATATTATTATTTTAAGTTTTTTTAAAAAAAGTACTAATAAGTTTGATTATGGACATCTTTTTTTCTGTTATATCTTTTGTGATGAGCAACTATATAGCAAGAAGGTGAGCTTACGACTTCATCATCTCCTATGAAGAATATCACTTCTGTCACAGTCCTGAAAAGAAGGAACAACAACCAGTATAAACAGCAGAATTAAGTCTTTACAGCATGTACTTTATAAAATTTATTATATGTTCTTTATTCAATGTTCTTAATATTTGTGATATTTGACGCAATGTACATGATTATAATGATACTCTAGGAGTACATTGAATACATCTACATTACCTTATGGCATAGTATGGGACGAGTTGATTTTCGGAGTCCTGAATGACCTCATTAACCAGCTGTAGTACAGAGGTCAGGTGGGGCTTTAGCTGTTCCCCTGCAGCGGCTGCCACCGAGTACAGGACAAACATACCAATCTAAGGGAGAGAAAATTCATTATACTTTACAATATATCATACATTCAAATGGAGGTACATGTGTAAACTTTTTCTCCATCTTACTTTTGCTGTTAAGTTTAAATTGAATGTTCAAAGAAATATCAAAGCTCCTAAATGAGACCAAACTCTTAGTTATAAATTTGCTACATGAATATGTAGACTGAAATTTTTAGACTGTGGTAATTATTGTAATAGTCTGTTATTCTTATGACATCTAAGCTTTTCTTTTTAAATATATATTCAGCATATTAATATTCATCAATCTCAATTTCAGTCAAAAAATTAGTTGTGGACTTTTAAAATTACTGTCAAGAAAATTTTCAATACTTGTAAAAGAACCAAAGAGAATATAATACAGTTCTATCTTTAATAATTTGCATACTAACCTCCCTTTCAGCACTGTTCTGACTTTTAGTATAGGCCAGTATAAACTGGAAGAGCTGAGGCCATTGATTCTTCGGTAGATCATGCTTTGCTACTATAGCAACTACCTGGGCAATGGAATTTCTTACAAATTTCCTGCAAAAAAACAAACTTTGAGCTATATATATATGTCAAAATACAGCATCACATGTGAACAATTTTCATATTCTCATTTCTATTCATTTGTTAAATCTATCTCATAATTGTGTGTCTAATTTAAAATTTCTTTGTCATCAGGAGATCAATGCACATCATGCACACAGGTTGAGGTACATGTTTCCCAAGAGGGCCACTTACTCTGGTTCTTGTAACAGCAACTGCAATATGTTTTCTCTGATGCTGAAACAACAATTCAAAAAAATTGTGAATAATTTGTTGTTACACCAGTGATAGATTTTGATATGTGGCAATATAATCTAATAAAGTACAACTACATGTATCAGATCTACACAACACACATCCGTCTTTAAACCATTCTTACTTCTGACAGACATTTTCTGGCAGTGCTCTCCACTGTCGTCCCTTCTGAACTTTCCTTCTCAACAAAACAGCTGCCAGTTGTCTTACCTTAAACCATAAAATATTATTTCATAGCTAATTTTATATCAATCTAAAATACATAACAGTTATACTATATATACCTAAGGATATCAATACTTTACCTGAAAATCTTATGTAATACACATAAAAAAAAATCTTACATCCAAAAGTAAAAATGAAAGATATTTCTATTTTTTCACAAAACTTTTCCATAATAATTTTTTAACAATTCTTTTTAATTCTATTTCATATTTCAGTAGAGTTCAGGGTATTACAGACCGTGGATATAGGCCTATATAGCTCAGTGGTAAGAGCACCTGGCTAATAACGCAGGGGTTCCAGTGGCTGCAGAAATGTAGCTCACCGAAAAAAATGTTGACAGACCAGAAAGCTATAGTGCCCCCATTGTAAAAACTGTATACATCATATTGCGCACAAAAAGGTTTGTCAATAAATTTTTTCGGAGAGCTACTGTCCTGCAACTAGGGTCCCAGGTTCAATTTCCTGTCCAGCCATGTTTTCTTCATGCATTTCTCCCTTTTTACTACATTTCTTAAATAAATTTTTCACACTTCTACCAGTTTTTATTATTGAATTTGTTTAAATAAATATAACATTATGTAATAATTAAAGATGTATAGACCTCTTAATGAAGTGACTGTGGTGTACTGGACCCAATATTAATTCAATCAAATGGGTAATTCTCAATGTATTTTTTCTAATTTTTTGTTAAATGTAATGTACAGTTCATATGAGCTGAAAATGTGCATTATGTAAGTTTTTATAACATACCTGAGCAGATTGTGAGGAACCAAGTATCTGACACAAACCCGGCACAATGTTGGGGTCTTTAAAAATCTCCTTCAACTGCAGGGTAGCCTGGTTTGTAAATGAAAATATTTTTTAGGTCTACTTCACATTGTGAGAAATGAAAACTTTTGAATAAGATAAAATATCAAAACAAATAAATGACATTCCTGAAATAACTGAATTTTCCCGCGTTTTCAGATGTGAGTAACCACCAGATGTTGTATTGAAAAAAGTTTCACTCAGCCACATTTGTTTTATCATACTACTATCAAAAGTATGTTTTTAAAGTATATGCGACATATTTCACCTGTTTGATCGTGTTATTATCCGGCAGTAAAAGCCTACTAAGTGTTTCTTCTAAATTCGATGCCATGCCTTCTCTCTGTCAACCATTCAAGCACCAAACGTGCCTTTTTTTGGCAAAAGAGTTTGTTTTCTTTAAAGAATCGGGCTCGAGATACAGAGCATTTAGAGTATCCCCAGAAGACGAAAATTTTTAATCTTATGTTCATTGAATTTCTAAAATAGTAAACTAAAGAAGAATGTCTGGAGATGTTCAGCAGAAAAAAAATGCAGAAGGGAAGGCACATGTTCAGGCCGCTGAGAAATAGTATGTTTCTGTTCAATCATGTAATCGAAGTTTAAAAATTCGATGTCATATTTTCATATTGACCTGTTGACATGTTTTGTAACTTTTGTTTATGTATATTCATTAGTGTTCATTATTTTTTTTAAATGTTATCATACCTTAGCAAATATGAGATTAACTGTAACGTTATAAAAATGAATAACATAATAATAAGCTATGTGAATCTGGAACCTATAAACAGGATGAATCTGTCCTGCGAACTACTTGACTTTACAACATCTGAACATGTACAAAATATACTTGTTGTGGCATCTATATATACAGGTCCAGCACAATCTCCAGATTAAGCTGTTTAGCTTTTGAATAGCAATGTAACTCATTGTAACAGGAGAGGAGAAAGATGCAGCGGACCAGACTGGGATTTGAACCCGGTGTCATATAATATATTGAACCCCGCGATATTTTGAACCCGGGTTCAAAATATCGCTGCGAAATATTGAACCCCCCTATAAAATATTGAACCCGGGGTTCAAAATATTATGGCCATAAAATATTGAGTCCCCCTGTCCTTTTAATTGATGAGGGAGGGGGTTCAATATTTTATGGCCATAATATTTTGAACCCCCTCCCTTTAAAATTAAAAAGGGCATGGGGACTCGATATTTTTATGGCCATAATATTTTGAACCCCACTCCCTCTAAAATTTAAAAGGGCAGGGGGGTTCAATATTTTATGGCCATAATATTTTGAACCCCCCTTCCTGTAAAATTAAATGGGCAGGGGGACTCAGTATATTATGGCCATAATATTTTGAACCCCTACCTCTTTAATGAAAAAGGTAGGGGTTCAATATTTTATAAGGGGGTTCAATATATCGCAGCGAAAAAGTGAACCCGGGTTCAAAATATTATGCGATATTTCGAACCCGGGTTCAATATATCGCGGTATCAAAATATTATGCTACACCGGTCCCCCTGAATCTCCGGTCAGGTGCTCTACCAACTGAGCTATTCAGCCACCTGTGATCAAACCCGGCTGACCAACACATTTCTCCCTAATTAAATGTCTTTGGCCCCCAAAGACCCCAACCCAGGCTCATTCCTGACAGGCCTCTCACCTGTCAGTTCTAAGCATGGCACCAAATATAACGGGAGAGGAGAAAGATGTAGCCTGTACCAGACCGTGATTCAAACCAGGGACCCCTGAAACTCTGGTCAGGTGCTCTATCAACTGAGCTAACTGGCCACCGGCGATCAAACCCAGCTGACCGCCACATCATTATATAGCTTTATCTAGAATTTGTGTCAATCTACTGTAGTAAGCATGTACCTCTGAAACTTGTGCATAAATTTTGGATAGTTAGATAATCCAGGTTATTCCTGGTGTAATGACAGCTAAATGTGGCCTTTACTAATTCATAAACAAATTTTCATGTTAAACCAGTCAGTATGTGCAAGATCTGATATTTTCATTATACACCCCTCTTGAAAAGCGGGAGGGTCTATAGTAATAGGTATGTCCGTCTGTACGTCCATCTAGCTGTACGTCGGTCCATCCGTCTGTCTGTTATGCTTTGGGGTACCCATCTCTTATCTGCGACTCCTCTTATACCACTGAGTGAAATTTAATGAAACTTTCACAGAATCTTTATTACATATCGCCATTGTGAACCTCCTATTTTACTTTTTGATCTGACACATATTTTGGGTTTCCCGGCCACAGCAAAACATGGACATTGCCATTATAACCATATGGGAGGCGGGGTATCATTTAGTGAGCTCATTGCTCACAATACCTCTAGTTGTTTTTTAAAAACATGAATACTGTTTGCTCTACATGAAGGTCTAGTAATTAAAACACCAAGAGTTAGACTACCTTACTTTAACTTACATGTAGACAGTGTAAATAGTTAATGAATTATGCAATTTTGATCAACTCACTTATTTATATATGTACTGGATTCACATGTATTATACAATTATTTTGAACCATTTAGAAAGGAAAAAGTTCTAAAGGGTGACAACTCTTCTCAGATCTGATAATTTTTCATATATTTGTCAATTACTGCGTATGTATAAATTATCTTGTTTGCAACATTTTTATAATTTCATCTAAAAGAAGACAATGCAGATGAACTACTCGTTTGCTCCCTTGCATAATTTCATTGTCATATCTTAAGGGAAACAACTCAGGTGGCACCTGCACCTGGCATCTGAATCACTAAATCAATCAGTCTGAGATTTATTATATTATTATAAATGATAGTACATGTATATTGTATAAATATGTTAATATTTACTTTTATGTGATATTTATCTGTTTACATGATCTTGCATTAATGCTTTATTTATTTTTTTTTTCTATAGCATGAAAACATCTTTATTCAAGTGGAAACCAGACTTGGATAGTGCTGCTTCAGAGTACACAAAAGCAGGTATTTAAAACTTTCAAGAAAAACAAGTTATCATTTGCAGTGTATTATTCATAAGTTGAATATTTTAATTATAATATACACGTATATTATTTTAATTACAGCCACGTGTTTCAGAAATGCAAAAGCTTTTGCAGAGGCAAAGGATGCCTTCCTTAAAGCTGCTGATATATACAAACAGATGAATTCGTATCTTTTCTATAGTTACTTTATTTTTCTTTCATTTTTTTATATTCCATAAAACCAGAGTACACACACAGTGACACCATATTTTATTCAGTATATATTGAAATGCTTTATACTTTTACGGAGTGTCCAAAGGATGAGATCTGTAATCCAATATTATTTGTTAAGACCGATTAGAAGAAGTAAATTTTTGTTCTGTACAAGTAAATATTTCTAATGGAGAGAAGTTTTCTGAAACCCGATACTTGCCACAAGAGCAGGCTACACACTTGGAGAATATTGTCATTCCTCTGATTCAAGAACATTTGGAGATACCATATAAGTGGAAATTTTAGCGAGATGCAAATTTAGCAATTTGTCCTGAAAGACTGGTAATCTATTTTTAGCGAGATGCTATTTTAGCGATTTTAAAATGCATGTTAAAGAAGTTATAACAAATAAAATGCAATTCGTTTTTAGTTATATTCAATTTTAGTGATCTCGGCACCCTCGCTAATAATGCCAAAATTAAATCCTTGCTAAAAATTCTACTTATACGGTATTCATGCTCAAATTTGCCCCCATTTCAATGGACCATTCTCAGAAACATTATATTTTCACACACAAAGCTTATTGAAAAATTTGTGATATATTTTTTTGGAGATATAAGATTTATATATAAAGACTATTTTAATATTCTGCTTTTATTTTTCTTAACACTTCCAGTATATTTAATGCAGCAAAGTAAGTTATGTTGATTTTACAGCCATTTGAAACTTTAAGAAATTTTATGATTATTTTCTTTCTCTCATCTTTATATTTAAAAGTGTAACTTTATTTTAAATATAATTTCAAAGAAAGTCTTTCATTCCTTTAGAGAACTTTGAAGAGAAAATTATTTGAGCCACATTTATATAGATGTAATATCATTTTAGGATGATGGAGCAGGCAGGTCTGTTGTGTAAAGAGTTTAAGGACGTTGAAGGCTGTGTGAATTTACTGGAGCGGGCAGCAGATCTTTTCCAGCAGAACGGGACAGCAGACACAGCGGCATTGACTTTAGACAGAGCAGCAAAGTATGCCACATTCCTGTCTGTGTGTTAATACCAGAATATACAAGTATTAAAAACTTAAAAACTGTCTTTGTTAGTTGTTTTACTAACATTTATTGTTTTGAGATAACAGTAGTTGTACAAAGTTATTCTAGATCATGAGTTAAGAGACAAGAGTAAGAATCACTGTGATGAAAATGCTGGTATTTACTCCCTTACACATGTATGTTATGATATTTTGTATGATTTCTTTGTTTTTGTACATTGTAGAACTATAGAGTTAAACTACCCAGAGAAAGCAGCTGAGTTATATGACAAAGCTTGTAGTATATCAGAGGTAAGATTTCCTTTACAGCTTAAAACCAATTCAGTCCAAAGAATTTCAGTTTTAGTGCATATTTTTGACTCAAAATCCAGAATCTTTATGTAAACAATTAGACAATTTATAAATGAATGAATTTAAAAAGAAAAAAGGGAAAAATATTTTAGTACACAAATTAAACCATTAAAAATGACATAAATAAACTATTGTGAAATGACAAATTTTTATCGCTAGTGTTTTATTTTTTCATTGTTGTTGTATGAAGAGACCCTAAATAGCTGTGTCCTCCACAAAATCAAAAAAAGTTTCAATAATAAGTTTCATGCTATGGTCTTCATCATACACTTAATCAAAGCTCCAAAACCATTTTTTTTCTTGAGCCACAAAAAATGACCACATGATAATAATTGATTGTACAGTAGTTTACATCCTTTATTCTGCATGATAGGTTTCATTTCTTCTATAATTAGGTGTATATAAATATTCCTAATGTTTTAGTAAAATCACTTCATTTGATCTATTGATTTATGATCATTTTAGTTGGAAGACAAATCAAGACAGTGTGCAGAGTTTGCAGGAAAAGCAGGGAGATTATTTGTCAGAGCAGAAAAGTGAGAGAATTTTCAATATCACTCTTAAAAGCTCAGTCATAAATCATGCTAAATTTACCAAAAAAAAGGGGGGGGGGTATAAAACGGTTTCATAGTCAATAAATTAGGTCAACTGAGTAAACTATAGTTTACAGACAGTAACTTGTAATAGATGATGTTAATGTATACTGTAAATGTATTACATTTGGCTGTATATTCTTTTTGGAGGAAGAAAACTTCTGCTAATTCAAGTACACGTACAACACTAAGTGTTTTGCACATATAAACATGAAAAGAACATCAAGAATTAAGCTATAAATCAAATCCACGCTAACTTATTTAAGAATCAATCTCTGCTAAATATCATACACACTAAATATAATACATTTACTGTATTTTTACATTTATAAACCATATTTAACTCATAGATTGTGATAGCAAAACACTTTTAATCTGATAAATACTGTTTCACAGTTTGTAAACTATGATTACAACTCTCTACATGTAGTTGCAAATTCTAATAATACATGTAGTTTTAGGTTGTATGGTTATAGTTTAATTGCCAAGTTCACAAAATTATGAAAAGCATAAGTTGACATTGAGGCATTTTTTTGGAGGTGTAAATTTTCTGAGAAACTATAATTCACAACTCTTAACTAAAGCATAGCCATTGGTAGAGTTATTCATAAATTGGTACAGCTCATCCTTATTAAGATTTCGTTATGCAAGGATTTTTTTTCATTGATTGATGAAAATGTGTTACTTCGATCTTGATATTGAAAATAAATTTTTCAATCAGTTTAAAGCAGATCTAACAGTAAGTGAAAGAAAAAATGACAAAACATGTTAAAATCTTTTTCTTTTTCAAATCCAGGTATGATTTAGCTATTGAAGCTTTAAAAAGGGAAATAGAATTTCACCATCAGACCGAAAACTTTCCTATGATAAACAGAGTGATACTGGGAATAGTGTTGGTGCACCTACAAAATGGTGACCCAGTGGCTGCAGAAAACTTCTTCACAGCAGCATCAAAGTAATTTCTTACCTGTTAATTAATTATAAAGATGTATATGAAAGGCAAATGTAAATAATTTGTCATGTAAACCTTTAAAAAAGAAAGAAAAGTTGGATCTTAGTTCAAATTTTTAGGGATTATCACAATATTTCAAAGAAACCATGGAATTGATCTTGATTGTAATTTTTGAACAATTTTTCAACAAGTCAAAAGAGACTGCATACATGTACCTGTATTCAGAATTGAATAATTATGAATGTCTTCATTAATGTCACTGAATTCAATTTCCAAGTTAAATGTTTATGGAAGAGTCAACTAAGGAGACATTCAGCTTTATATAAGAAACATTTCTTTAATTATCTCATTGAATTAATTTCTTGATGTAAGCAAGCATTTTTATGCTCTTTCCTTTTGCAGCAAGGGAACAGGCGAGGATGAGTTCATTCAGGGGGCAGATGAATTAATCCGAGCATTTAATGACGGAGATGAAGAAGAAGCCAGAACAATACTATCGAGACCCTTTGTTAAATTTATGGACAATTGTGTAAGTAAATTGAAATTAGATTTATAACAGGTATTATTATTATATAGACATGCCTTTGCATGTTTGTTAACTAGAATCTAATTGGCTAGGATGCATAAACATTCTGTTTCCCTCAGCATAAATCATAATCACACTTAACAATGGGCATCAAATAAAAAATCTGACATACCTATTACTAAAGCGCATACAGTTGAATTTTTCAACACATTAATTGTTGTTTGAAAACAAGGTAAATGAATAAGATGGTGATTTTGTTGGAACAAGGTGCTTTGATGAAAACAAGAAACAGAAAAAAGGTTTGCAAATGCAGAAATTGTTGATAAATAATTATTTTCTTATACACGTTCCAAATAATCATTTGAGGGGCTGGTGAATCTTATTCAAATTTTAGTTATTAAAAAATTAAGAAGTAAAAGAATTTAAAATCTCTTTAAAAACTAGGGAATTCATGACATTCTCAAACAACAGAAATTCAGTAAAACATTATTGTCTTTATTGACAATGCTTAAAACCATTGTCAGCCTCTGACATTGGTTATCCTTTAGAGTGTAATTTTCAACTGTTGCCCTTTAAAATATGCACTATTCATTATCCTATTAAGACAGGTTGCATGATTATTTAAAAATTTGAAGTGCTTCTGTAAATGTCTAGAAAATTTCCAAGCACTTTTATTTGATAGAATATTTTCTACGAAGAATAAAAATTGTTTCATTTGTTGATAAAACTGTACATTTTCAAAAGATTAATTGTACATAGTATATTTTAATATTCATGACAATAATAAAAGATGTTACCATATAAACACATCTCTTTTTATTGTAGTTTGCAAAGATAGCCCGAGGACTTGTCATTCCTGCAGGAGGAAGTGGAAGGGTGGGTGTGGTCAAGAATGAAGCAGCCAATGACACATCAGGTCAAGGGGCACAGCTCGCAGATGATGAATTGGAAGAGGGAGGGTTGTGTTGATGAAATTGACCTTTGTCTGTTAATGATTCCATACTTTACACTTTCTCTTTTCAGAGAACATGCAAACTAGTACCTATAAATAATATGTTGTTATACAAATAGTTGTACCATTTTAATGCAAATGAAATTGTTTATTTTTAAGTTATTTTGTTGATAAATTGTATCTGTTTTTCAGTTGTGTGATATTTCTAAAACATATTTCTGTGTGAAGGTTCTTCAATGATGCGCTATAGTTGTGTGATCAGGTCATTATAATGATTGTTCCTGTTTTTGGATGCATGCAGGCAACTAGTAGAACAGGATATTTGGTTTGGGATTTGGAATGGAAGGGGTAAGAGGAGTGGAAGATCCATGGTACAGTTTAAGTTCATTAATAACTTAATATTCCAATTTTTACATTTTTCTATATAAGATTGGTATTTAACTTTTAAATGAAGTTGTGAAATTTTTTTGACAACAGCCTTTTCATGTTTACTATATTTATTATTGGAGATGAAAACAATATTTCCTTATTTAGAATTACTACTTCATAGCTCGCCTGAGCTAAGAGTTCAAGTGAGTTTTTCTGATAACAGATTTTCAGGCATCTGTAACCTGTTGTGTATTCTGTTTAAGCATTACAGATTTTCAACATTTTCTCCAGAAATGTTGAACTTGTGTCCCATTTTCGTCTTGAATGGAACATTTTTGTTATCAATTTGAATAATTTTTAGATTGTTATGAAATGAAAATATAGAATTTTTTACATTTTCAAATTTAAAAAATGATCAGAGGAGATGTACTTTTTTGATACATTAAGTGTAATTTTCCTCTTGAAATCCTGGTTTCCATTGGAAATCTACTGTACAACATTCGATCAACTCGATACAAAACCTAGGCACATTGTGGTAGAATACACAAAAGGAACTGCATACTGTTTCAGTTAGTGTACTAAAAATACCGAAATGTCTATTGAATTTAAAACAGATATACCTTAGTAAATTATTCTAAATACACATGCAACTTAACTGCCTCAATACAAGGGATTTTTTTGATATTTGTTTAGTACATGTATTTGAATCTGTTTGCTGTAAATCATGTTAAAGGCATATTTGTGAAAAAGACATGTTTACATGTATTTTCTTTAATTGATTTATGTGTACATCTTCAGATTTTTCTTTTTGATTACAAGTAGGAGATTATAACTTATAATTAAATGTGCAATAAAATTTTATCAAGCAATTGCTGTACATGTATGTTATTTGATTGATGAAAAATGGCTCCAGAGTTGCCGATTGAATATTGCAATTGATATTTTAAGCATTTTATTGTTATTGTTATGCTACATACCATTACATAATTAAGTTATTAGTAAGTGTGCTATTTGAAAATTGAATTAGGGCAATAACATCAGGTTTTAAGATCAATAGGAAGACAAATGCAGTAGAACAAAACAATGGTTCCAGATCTTACAAAATTTAAGTCATCTTTAATTTCGTCTAAAGACATACACTGTAGGGTTTCATTAAGTTCATTAAAAGCATTCTCCCGAATTTTCATACATAAACCACTGTAGAGTTATAAGAAGAGAGAAACTAAGCAGAGTTTGACAAAGAAAAGGAGATAAAATTGCACTGTTGGGGGGGGGGTATAGTTTTAGTTTGCGTTACCCCTATACACCTTGGCTTTTAGACATTTTCTCTTTATTCAAAGTAAAGTCTAGGGAAGAAATTATTGTAATGATAACACTAGACATCTGTGCCTCTGAGGTATTTGTACCATGTGATATCTCTAACGTGCAGTCTTCTGGTATGCAGGGAGTTTTATCTGAAAAAAGAAAACATTTGCGCTGGCTTTAACTCGACATACAGATAATCGATGTATTATTAATTAAAAATAGTTACTTTCATTCATATGTTGATTCGATACATCCAGTGAACTTGAAATTAAAAACACCACAGAGTCTGTTAGATATAAATTTGGAGGGTTTACTGAGTGTAGATGATAATGACCAACTAGCAACTAAACATTTTGACAAACGAGATGGTTTCAATTTTTCCACTGTCAACTTTCCTTATTTCTGTTGTAATATCTTGCTATCAACTACACATGGTATTTGCATCTCCCAGCTCGATACTCAAGATCATGCTCCTAGTATAATCGGTTTTTAACCGAGACAGGTTACTGACAAATAAGGTGATGTTACTTGTAAGGGATTTCAACAACTTCGTTTAAAGTCAGCATTTTGTAAATTTTATTTCGTTAAACTGACTTGTTAGCAGATATAACTCATCTTTGGGTCGTATTTTGGCTGACATGTTTCAAACCAATTGTTAGTTTTTTAATACTGAATTGACTGTGGAATGTTCTGTCTTCCTGATCAACGCATAGGGCTCGTGGCGGGTGTGACGGTCCATAGGGGATACTTACTCGTCGTATACACCCGACCCCAGGCCTGGAATTTTCAGGGATCTACGTTTATGCTCTTTTCACAAATTTCTATTACTAGTATTCAAAGAATTTTTTTTAGATCGAATCTTCAACCTTTTCATCTGTACTACATTAAACAAACGTTTTGTATGTGTGCAGAGTATTTATTAATGGTCATATTTTCAGTCAGCCCCTCCCGCTTTTTTTCAAATAATCTATGGTCATTAATTGGATAAAAAGTATGATTTAAATGCTAAAAGTGGCCTTTATTTTAATTATGAGTGATGAGACATGACAAGAGTAGTAATGGAAAATCTAATTCAGAACTGCAGTAGCTTCATTATTCTGTATTCAAAAACAATTGCAATTTAAGCAAGTTTTAAGTTAAAACTTTATTTATGAAAATATTTGATATCTGTGCGACTGATCAGATGTATATCTCCGGGTTACTGATACATATGTATGACACGCCAAATTCACAAAAATCAGCTAAACATAGTTTCACAGTCGATAAACCAGGTTTATCGGTTGTAAACTATAGTTTACGGACTGTAAACTATAGTTAACAACGTTAATCTATATTTTACATCCGTAAACCATAGTTAACGCGATAATCTATGTTTCACAACCGTAAACTATACTTAACACTGAAAACAATCATTTGCGATTGCAAAACATAGATTATCTGATAAATACAGTTTCACGATTTGTAAACTATAGTTAAAAAACCGTTAACTATAGTTAACGATCTGATAAATATAGTTTCACGATTTGTGAAACTATGATTAACAACTCTTAACTATAGTTTACGATTGTAAACTATAGTTTACAAACGTGAATCTATGTTTATCAACAAAATCTATTGTTAACGCTTATTACAGACAGATAAACTTAGATTATCATTCGTAAACTATAGTTAACAACCGTTAAATATAGTTTTACAGATGTAGTTTGTTTGTAAACTATAGTTTACAGTCGATAAACCTAGTTTATCAAATGTGAAACTAGGTTTATCTCATTTTTGTGAACTTGGCGTGCCATAGCAAATGATTGTTTTCGTTGTTAAGTATAGTTTACGGTTGTGAAATGTAGATTATCCGTTAACTATGGTTTACAGACGTAAAATATAGATTAACGTTGTTAACTATAGTTTACAGTCCGTAAACTATAGTTTACAACCGATAAACCTAGTTTATCAATTGTGAAACTATGATTAGCTCATTTTTGTGAATCTGGCGTGCCATATATGGCATGCCAAATTCACAAAAATGAGCCAAACCTAGTTTCACAATTGATAAACTAGGTTTATCGACTGTAAACTATAGTTTACAAACCGTAAACTATAGTTAACGATTCGTTAAGTATAGTTTTCATTTGTAAAACTATATTTAACGGTTGTTAACAATAGTTTACGAATGCTAATCAAAGTTTATTTGTCTCTTATAAAACGTTAACAATAGATTTTGTTGATAAACATAGATTCACGTCTGTAAACTATAATTTACGATTGTTATCTATAGTTAAGAGTTGTAAACCATAGTTTACAAATCGTGAAACTGTATTTATCAGATAATCTATGTTTTGCGATCGCAAATGATTGTTTTTGGTGTTAAGTATAATTTATGGTTGTGAAACATAGATTATCGCGTTAACTATGGTTTACAAATGTACAATATAGATTAATGTTGTTAACTATATATAGTTATCAGTCCGTAAACTATAGTTTACAACCGATAAACCTAGTTTATCGACTGTGAAACTATGTTTTGCTCATTTTTGTGAATTTGGTGTACCATATGATGTTCCTTTGTATTTGCAAGTACTAGATCTGATTTCTCATGTTACATTAACAAAATCAAGTTAGATATCAACAACTGGGTACTTAAGTTAACCTACAAATTCTAAACCTTTTGTCTCTTCTGTAGTTTTTTGATCTGTGTTATTTGCATTGTAAATTGAGACGAAACCCATCAAGGCCTTTAAATTGGGTTGCTTTTATCGAACCAGGCTTAATTATACTTTCATAATTGTCATTATGATTAACTTTGTTTTTTTAATCGATTAAATTTGGGGGAAATTTAGCGTTTTTACGTGACTGTGCATATATTGAAATGTGTTGAGTCAGATTGCTACATGAAAGTCTAGTTACATGTAAGTTAACACTGGTCATGGTTACTGTTAAAAACACGATTTGTGCGATGATTCTTTGCTGTCTTTTAAATATTATAGAGTCTGACTGCCAACAAACAGAATATTTACGAAATATTCTACAAGAGCTATTTGAAACAAGAAAATATGACAAGAGGATAAGACCAGTACAAGATGTGTCCGAATCAGTTGTTTTAGACATTTCAATGATTATCTCGGGGGTTAATTTCATCGATGAGAAGTCTGGGGTGTTTTCTACTACGGGATTCCTGGAAGTTACATGGAAGGATCATTTCTTGAGCTGGCAACCTGAAGTGTTCGGAAATATAACCAATTTCACCTTACCTCAGAGTAATATTTGGATACCTGATTTGATTCTTCGAAATGGTGTGAAGGAAATTAAACCAATGGGAGGAGATTTTTACTATATTGTATTAAATTACACTGGGCAAGTAACGTGGTGGCCGTATCAAGTTTTTGAGGCACGTTGTGAAGTCGATGTTATATATTTTCCTTTCGATGCTCAAACTTGTGAGATGATTTTCACCGTTTGGAACCACGACAGAAACATGGTAAAGATTGGAAGTCGATCTTATTTGGGGTTATTTGATTATTATGAAAACGGGATATGGAAAATATTTTCCAACATGACTTCCGTGGAATTAGATGGATCAGAAATGTTTTTCAACCTCATATTTTCTTTCAATTTACGGAGAAAATACATATTTTATGTATGGAATTTGATAACTCCACTGCTTTTCTTAGGAATTATGAAGATTTTTGCATTTTTAATTCCAGCAGAAAGCGGAGAAAAAGTTTCCTTTGCAATAACTCTTTTTCTTGCATATGGTGTGTTTCTTAACTCGATAACTTCTTCATTACCAGAAAATTCAGATTCGATTTCTCTCACTTGTGTTTACATGGAGATAGAACTTGCATTAGCGGTACTGATTGTTCTAATTTCGAGCTTACAAGGGAAATCTGTCACCGAGATCAACACATTAAATTGTCAAAGCGTGAAATTTGGTTTATAAAACGTTTGAAAAAAGAATCTTCAGAAAAATTTATCGAAAGAGCAGACGTGGGCGAAATAGATTGGACAATACTATCATCTGCTATAGATAAGCTCATGATAATTTTCTTGATTGTCCAAGAGAGTTTTACTTTTTGTATATTTTCTACCGTGATTTATACAAACACTTACAAATAAGTAAAATGTAAGATTTAGATATAACAGTAGAAGCAATTTATCATTCATTATTTAATTAATAAAAATCAATATATCCCTTTTAAATAGATTTTTTCATTTTATTTGTATAAACAAAATAATGAAAAAGGTTGGTAAGACTAGAGAGGGATATGATACATAACTTTTCGACCAAAGATTAGGAAAGTGTTTTTTCTTCTTTCCACATGTACATGTACATGTAGTTTTTTTTTTTAAGGCACTGAACCCGGTGTATTAGTGCCATGCATTTTCAAAGTTGTTTATTCCGTTGGTAAATCAATTTTAAACTTGGATTTTTCCAATTTATAAATCTCTACTTTTTACTTTTTAATGTCGGTAATCCCAGCTTAACAGTTTCGCTCCTGACTTTTCCATCTTTTAGATAGCCCATCTTTCTTTCTTCAATAATTCAGAAGTTAAAAAAGAATCAGACAGATTACTCAATCAATGTAGTGGTCACAGCTGACAAAGCAAGGAACAGCATTTTCTTTGTCAGCAGGCTCAATTATTATTATAACTGTAATTTGGAGGAACCTGGATTTAATTCTGTAGGTGATTATTCAATAAATCATAGTTCGCTTCTTATGAGGAAATTCTTTAAAAAAGAATGTCAGTTTTAAACATTTTTAATATTCTTAACAATCATAATGAATTTGAATCACCATACTTATAAACCGAATTCCAAAGCTATATAAAATTCATTACAAAAAAAATGCGTAGCGGGTTCTAGTACTTAAAATATTCTACCAGACTCTTTTACTCTTCACCAAAATGTTAACAGTGGACGAGAAATTTCAAGGCCATTGAACAACAAAAATCCGAAAAAATGATATTTAAACACTCTAGAAACCCTTAAAAATTTGAAATCGCATTTATTTTTCTAAAACGTAAGAATTTTCAACACTTTGGACAACCAAAGTCGAACAATTGGAAAAACGTGATGAGACAAGGTGATCAACATTTCGCAAATTGATATCGTCAGCTAATGTGTAATCTGTCGATAAATGTTTATATTGACTGATGGTTTTTATACATTTTATAAGGCCATTATTTTCACACTGAATTGGCTACAGATTTTCCCCTTTATCTGATCATGACAAGAGCACTGGAGGTGTGACCGGTGAACAGGGGGAGCTTACTCCTCCATGTTACCTGATCCCACCTCTTATATCTTTAAGGTTTATTTTTGCTCTGCCTCCAATATGCTTTGACTTTTTTAAGACACTTATTATTTCATACTTTTAATTTCCATTTAATATCACTAAGTGCTTTTTATCAATATAATTAAAATTAGATACTTTGATCGGCCCAAACTATATCGCTAGCGTGTTTTTAAATTTATCAATGTAATGCAATATAAAAAAAAAACCAAATAGTTTTGGTGTCAGTAACCTTTTGTTTAATTTCACTTTTTTGAATATATATGATTTTTATAATAATATTTAAATTATGTATAGTGAGTTTTAAAGAGGTCGTGGCCATTTTTAGACTATTTTGATCTCAGAAGAAGAGCTCCATATAAAGATGTAATAAAATGATCAAATTTTAAAGCTAAAATTTATGAAATTTTTCTTTGCCAAATGATAGTTGACAGTTTAAGATATCATATCCCAAAATTTAAGTTATATCTGGTGGTTAATAAAAAAATAATTAGTTGACCCCCTAGCTTCCTTAATTCAAGATGTTTCTATTTAATTGAAAATGCGATTTGTTTAATGGGGAACGATGTACACTAAACGTATTAATAATTAATGAGTCATCAACTATAGACAATGGAATTGAATTTATTCCTACGGGTACAATTGTACTGTTGAATGAGTCTTCATTACTTAACCATTTAAAGACATAACGTGATTCTGCAAATAGTGTTCATTATTTATGATATCGAGGTTCGTTCGCAGTAAAATCCCATTTTGTTTCCGGAGCATCGATCGAAAGCTGTCCACTTATCTCAGGTGCTGCCACCCAGTATATTATTTAATGTTTTAAATTTTAAACACGGAGATATAAACCTCAGGGAGAAAAATAAATCCCGGAAAAAGAAATGCATTTTGTAGCGATTTGGTTCTTTGTGATGTTAGAACTAATGTCCACACACATATGCAACAGTAAGCTGACTACTGGGTTAAAAGATTTGCTTTATGAGAAATTTACTGTAGAAGGATACGACAAACGAATCCGACCCGTCCTGCACCAGGGACTGACGCTGGATCTAGATATAAGTCTCCGATTTTCTGGCATCAACTCCTTGGACGAAGTCAAGGGTGTTTTCACGACATCTGGATTTTTAGCTTTGGAATGGTATGACAGTTATTTATCTTGGGATCCAGAGTTATATGAAAATATCACTGAGATGTATTTACCACAAAACGAAATTTGGAAACCAGATTTGGTGCTAAAAAACGGATTCAAATCGTTCAGCGAAATGGGAGGACCATTCTATTACGTAATTGTAGAACATACTGGACTAGTTCTTTGGTGGCCATTTCATGTGTTTGAGACCAAATGTCTCATTGATATCACATACTTTCCTTTCGACAGACAAACTTGTAATATAACACTGACAATTTGGACACATTCTATCTACGAAGTCAACATATCTGATAGCTACGATGGACTGGACTTTTACGAGTATATCCCAAATAGTGTTTGGGCGATAGACTCCTCGTCCCACCATGTCAATACCGGTTCTGGAGAGTCGGAAGTGACGTTTACCTTCAACCTCAGTAGAAAACCTGGATTTTACATTCTCAATCTGATACTACCCATTCTTTTTCTTGGTAAACTCAACCTCGTTGTATTCTTGATACCAACACAAAGCGAAGAGAAGGTTGCGTTCTCAGTTACTATTTTCTTGTCATTCGCCGTTTTCCTTAATGTTCTTGACTCCTCACTTCCAAAAAATTCAGACAGCACATCTTTGCTCTGTTTGTATCTTGTTTTAGAATTAACCATTGGCGTGGTCATTCTCGTAATAACAGCCATACAAGTTCGATTTTGTCATAGAAACCCGTCTATTCCCTTTAATAGTTTTCATCGTAAGTTATTAAGGCTATCAAGATGGTTCAAATGTTGCAAAGGTCATAGTATCGACAATGAAAATGAAGTAACCAAGTTGGAGAACATTAAGAACCCGGAAGGCGCAATTGAACCAATATCTTCACCGGAAACCGACTGGACCGCTCTGTGCACCGCCATTGACATCCTGGCTTTCCAAACATTGCTTGTTATTCAGCTGCTTATCGTGGCCATTCTTGGCATTACAACCTATGTCAAAAGATAGCTGTTTCTGTATTAACAACGTTTGATTAATATTGGTGCACCCGCGAACGGGTTATCAATTTTATCGAAAATTTTCAGTAAATATAAATTACTTATAATAACATTATTATCAATTGTGAAACCTTTTAACATAATTATGCATGAAATATAATACAAATTGTATCATGAACTGCATTTGATCTTTAATGTTATCCAAAAAAAAAAAAAAAGATAAAATAATGAAATGTTACTTCCCGGGCAACATCACTGAAATATCGAAATCTCTAATGTAATATACAGTATGTATACAGACTTCATATTTTACTGTCTCTCAATCAGTATAATAAATTTAGAGAAATAAATCTGAGATTTATGTTTTTATTACAATCTCTTGATGATTGTTGGACTTGTCATACGGTATTGTGATTTGGATGGCAACAGATGCGCAACGAAGTGTTTTCTCTGTAGTCACGTAAAGCAACCTTATGTCTGTATATATTCACAAGTTGTCGTGACTTATTCGTACAGAATGATGCTTAACATTTTATTTCCCAGAGAGATTATATCCAGGTTTTGTCATTTAAATCATATACATGTATCAGTATAACATAATATGCCAATGTATGAGTCAGGGTCGTCGCTGTGTTTCTGGAAAGGAAAATGCAGGGGTCTGGGATGGGTATTCCCTCACTAATAAATCTATGAAAATATTTATGAGTGAGTATACATGTTGTTATTTAGTAGGTTCTGGTATATTTTGAGTGCCTCTTCTTCTCGATAATGTAGTAAACAAAATACAACAATATAATTTTAAAATATGTCAATATAGGGATTTCAATTGGTTGTCATTTCGACTTACCGCTCTCGATTGCATTCGGTACAAAGAAAAATGTTTTTGTGTAGTAAGTCATCAAAAAGTGGTGTAAAGAGCCTCCTTAAGCTTTAAAATGATTTCATCTTTTTAGTCCCATTGGCTTTAGAGTTCTGTGAATTAAAAAAAAAAGAACTATATCATCTACTTATAAAAATTTGATTTAAACATTTTTACACAAAAAATTGTAACTGTATTAAGAAAATTCTGTTTTATTTCAAACCATATTGTAATGAATGTTTTCCTATCTACATTAATAAGATGAATATCACATTAGTTGACAGAGATTCTTTTTCCCATCATAAAAGATGAGTTAAACGATTGAGTCGAAGTTTGCTGGGCCATATCTCGGGCGTTCATACTCTGTGTGTTTCATTTTTATGTTCTTCGTTCACTCATGCAAACATCAACATTATCTTCATGGTACAACAGGTAAGTATACATGTATACATACAAGATATAACAGTACCTTAAAGTTCTATCTGAAACTGTTCGACTGAAGAGATGATATCGGCCATGTTGTACGTTTTAATAGTATACAGGGCAAGAACCCTACATACCATTCATTATATACCTGATAGTGAAATACTGAACAGTCTATCATCAATGTGTTTAGTTAGTTGAAGAAATCAACTGGTCAACAAAAATTTCTAGCTGAGGACTTAATAAACATATTCAGCTTTTATAAATTTAAAATTTTATAACATTAAAATGGCAAGGCTATTTGAAATATTTAAAATTTGAAGAAAAAAAAATTACTAGCTTATCACTATATATTTTTTAAAAAATTTAAGCTGTATACAGAAATCAACAGGCCAGATCAGATCAGTAATCTTAATAAAACATTTTGTGAGAAAAGCATAAGCTCTAGAAAACTTTTGACCAATTTGCTAATTTGGATTTAGATCCTTTAGCAGCTTAGAAAACACTTTATTTATTAAATGAGCTAACTACTATCGATCAAGTTTAATTGTTACTGACATCAATTAATGCAAGTAAGCCTGTTACTTGGATTAGAAATGTTAAAGAATAACTGCATCCCAAGGATTACATAGAACAAACTAAATTTAATATACTGAATGTTGGATCTTTCACGATGAGGAAAATCCGAAGCTCAGACAATTCGACAGCCCAATGTCGTCCATTCCAATTAGCATTACAATGGATAGTCCTTATAAGAGTCAAAATGGGAGAAAGTCTAATATTTTCTTTGAAATTCCCACATCAAATATGTGTAATAATTTAGATTGCCATGACAAAATCATTATACTGAACGGTTTCTTTTAAATGTATGAGTTATAATGAGTAGTCCCATTTCATTGATTGATTGTATGTTGTTTAATGTCCCTCTCAAGAATTTTTCATCAAATGGAGACGTCACCACTTGCCGGTGGAGACCTATACTCGGCACTTACGGCCATTGAGCAGTGAGGATTCTTTTTCGTGCCAGCATCTACTGCAGGGCATCGGTTTATACAGTTTCATTCGCAGTACCGGTCTCCGCTAGCCGCAGAACGTTTTATATATTAGTCTCTGACCATAACGCTACAGATCCTGTAGTGCTAAAAAATGCAATTTACGGCACAAGATTATTTGCGCACTTTGGGGGAGAATTTCCCAACTTTTCAGCATTGGTCAATCAACTAGCTTTTACTCCCTAATTCTAGACACATTCTTTAACCAATCTGTGTATTTTATCCATCTCCCAACCCTATATGGTCGTCTCTACCGGCGATAAACTCGCTTTATTTTCAGCAATCCAAAAAAGAATTCTAATCAAGCGAGTTTATCACTTGAGTTTATAACTTATAAAGACGACTATAAAGGATTTGGAGGTGGATAAAATAATTATACAAATTGGTTAAAGAATGTGTCTAGAATTAGGGAGTAAAAGGTAGTTGGTTGACAAATGCTGGAATGTGGAGAAATTCTCCCCCAAAGTACGCAAAACATCTTGCGCCGTAAATTGATCCTTTTTGCATTGCGGGATCTGTAACGCTGTGGTCAAAGACTAATATACAAAGCCATAACGCTACAATTCTGCAGGTACGGTCTCCACGTCCCAGAGTGAGATTCGAACCCGCCACGTAAGGATTAACTCCTTACTTCGCGACTCTAGAACACACGCTTTAGCCACTGCGCCACGCGGGCGATTTAGTCCCATTTGAAGAAACCATACAAACTACAAATGATTAGAAAAAAACAATTGTCAAAGTAAAAATTTAGAATCTACACTACCTCAGGTAACTTTACATTTATTTTTATGGCCACTGATTTTGGAGAATATTATTCTTTAAAAAATCCTATATACATATTTCAATGTAAAACATTGAACATTTCAAGGCTCTACCATGGGCATTAATTTGAAAAGATTGGGATCATAATTACCCAACACCATAATCAAGATTTTTATGTGGGCGTCAACCTCATTGCCCAGACTGAATTTCACTAACTCGCTGCCTAAGTGACCATAACTTTTAGAATATGACCTTGAGCCAAACACACCTCATTCTTAGATGTAAGGTGAAACTTTTTTGCAATAAATCCATAATCAAGATTTTTATGTGGGCGTCAACCTCATTGCCCAGACTGAATTTCACTAACTCGCTGCCTAAGTGACCATAACTTTTAGAATATGACCTTGAGCCAAACACAACTCATTGGGTGCGTTCAGAGTAATTCCAATGGTACCATCACCTTTTTGCCAATGGTAACAATTTGTACCGTTGGTACCATTGGACCCCTATGTACTCTGAACGATTTTTGGGTAGAGTTTGCCTAGGAAACTCTGTTACCAATGCTTGCAATGTGTATCACAGCGCTTGGAATGATTTGAATCTCATGGCACCATTGGTGTACCATTTGTGACATTGGTATATACCATTGACATTTGTTAACAATGACAGATTTCTTAAAAGAAAATGTCAAACCAAGATTATTATTCTTGCTTCGTGCATCATTTTGCAGCAAGAGAATGCTTTCAGAAATACTTTTGTAGTACAGTAAAGTACTTTTCCAGAACAGAATTTTTCTTCAACTTGTATTCCGAATTGTCAACTGTAAAATTATTAAATCAATAAAATTTTTATTCTACATTAAAAATTGAAATTTATTAAAATAAAGATTCTGAAACTTTCAGTCAAGAAAAATCACATTTAAAAAAGACGTTTCACACCTATATACACAGAGTTGATGAATATAGGTGTGGTAAAAACATTACAATGATTTGTTACTTTTTCAACTTTTTTCCCCAGGGAAAACTTTCATAGAATAATCTTGTTATTAATTTTATAGATAGAAAACGATTTATAGAGTAAAAATGAACTCAATTATTCATAAATTTTTAAAAAGAATCGACAAATAAGCAACATGTTAACTATTTGAATTTACCAAATACAGTCCGGTCAACCTAGAGATCTCTCGGGTTCTCTGTTTAGTAGGACCGACTTGATCAGTACCCGCCATTTTGTTTGACGTCATTAAAAAAGTTACCATCGCTAACAGAGCTCTAGTTCGTCTGCAGGGGCCCACTCGATTTGGACCCTTCTAGAAGCAGAGGGGAATGTTGGAAGGGTTGGAATATGTATGTCTAAATCAAGTGTTCAGAAGGATATTGAATAGGATGGAATATTATCTGCAATGTTTTGAATTACTGCAGTTGTTGAATTTCAAGAATTTGAATCTGTTTTTTAAAGCATTAAATGTTAGTTCGAAAGGGAAACTTGAGATAATTAAGAGTGGAAAAATTAATTTAATATAATAGTATTGGGAATTTTTTTTTATTTATGTAAAGAAGATTTAAAACATCAAGTGTTTGAGACAGAAGAATATTAAAGAGCATGTAAAAAAATAAAATAATTATGGTCAAATCAGGGACCTATTTATGGCTCAAATCTGCACCTCATATTACATGGTAAATTATGAAACTGTGTTCAATGGTTGATTCTACTGCAATTACATAACAGAAAAAAATGCTTCTCAACAGAAGTACCCTTCATACATGATAAAAATACATTTTGCAACTGTATTGTGTTTTAAGTTTGGTTTATTTACAATAATAAAAATCCCCCAAGTTTTCACCAAACCGCTTGACGCCATATTAGAATGCTATCCTTCAGCTATCCTTCCATCTCTGACGTGGAAGGCTGAGAAGGCCTTCTAAGTCTACCCTACCAAACCAATCAAGCAGACAGAATGGTTATTCTGGAATAAGAAGAGTCCCAATCGAGTGGGCCCCAGAAAAATCTACCTATGGTAAATTTTTTCGGCAAACATTGGTACCATTGGCATACCAATGGTAAGAAATTCTACCAGTGGTAACTTTTGTCAGCCAACGGTAGTACTCTGAACGCACCCAATCTTAGATGTAAGGTGAAACTTATTGCAGTAAAGCAACTGATTTAGGACACAATGCCGGTACTTGTGACAGTCATGCAAAAATTAATTTAAATGATAATCTCTGTCATTTTTATATTTCCTGAAATATTTATTCTCATTAAGCATTATGATTGTTAAACAAGTTGAAAGGAACTAATTCATTACTTCCCTCAGTAAACGTCTTTGTTTATACATGTGTATCACTTATTGGAATGATTTGAATCTCAATATCAGCATTTCCAAATTTCATTGCTTCATTTTGCCTCTCTATGTAATCTCAGTTATGTTAATCTACATGCAAAACGTCTACACACCAAATGCAGTTATTAGCATGTGAACCTTTGTGACAGTAACAAAAGGGGAAAGAAATAATAACAGCTACAAAAAAAAGATACAGACATATTTATTGCATACTCATAAATCCAGATCAAAAACAAACTTTTAAACACAGACAGTTGGGACTTCCGTTAGTGACCTGTAACTTTTGGACACTGACATCATTAAAACTGAATCTGTGTTCAGAGTTCAAAAAAGATATGGACTTAAGCTCCAATTCTCTAACAAATATAACATCTTCAAACTTTCAAACCAAGACATACATATCACTGGGTTATGTAATGTATTTAAAGACAAAAAAAATATCTTTGAAAATAGATCAGTTTTGGTTTGGGACCTTTATTGCAAAAATTGCAGTAGTATATAAAAAAAGAGCACTAAATATTGTATTTACTTCAGGTTAAAATAATGTTAACGTCATTATATCATCATAATCATACCAATTAAAACTTAGAGCATTTCAAATCATGCAGTTTTTAAAAATTTAAACAAATATCAAAGGTAAATAAGCAACATGAATTCAAGACAGTTTAAAATGGAACTAAATTAGAGCTCTTCCTTTTTAATGTAGGGACCTTCCTTAAACTCCTCTGGGACTTCTTCACTTGCTTCTGATTTCTTATAAAATCCCCTCCTCTGCAACAACCCATTACATTCCCCTCTGTTTTTATGCTCTAAATTTATTCTCTGTTAAAAAGAAATTGCATAAATGAAAATGAATGGTATTTATTAGTTTGTTTTTTAAATTAAATTCACCTCATACCTATGTAAATATAATTATGTCATAATTTACTTGAAGTCAAAACTGTAGTGAATCAAAAAAGGCTTTGGTTTTTTTTTTTAAAAGTTGAATAGCATTACTTGGAGGCAACACAAAAAAGGAATTATGTACAACGTAGACATTATCCATGGTAGTTCAAAAGAAAATAAACTGTTTCCTAATTTGTGAAGAATCTTAATAATGTAAAAATTTGTGCACAAACTACATGCCTTTGAGACCCTTTAATTGTGGGTAGGGTGGGGATTACCCTTAATTTTTGTTAGTTTGAGTAAGGTGATCTAATGGCCTGTGCCATTAACCATGTGTATTGGATATTTACCTCAATCTCATTGTCTTCTTTACCATAAAGTATCAATTCAGGAGGGGCACCACCAACCTTCTTAAATTCTACATTATGACTGCACAGTGTTAAGGTTAACAAGCTGAAATTACATGTACTCTCTACGGATATGAAAGTAGATATTGAAAAGAATTCAACTATGGCATCACTATGTCTTGTTTGTTGAATATGCCAGTTCATTAAAGACAGTTTGAAACATGGGATTATTTATGCAAAACAAGGTCTGTTTATTGGGTATCCAGGTCAAAACAACTAGTAAAAAATGTGGGACAATTTGCCATAAATTGGCAAAGCCCCTTATGCTTGAATTATCTTATGTTTCCAACTGTTGTTAGTAACTGGTATAGATACCCAACAAACTGCACATTGATTCCTTATGTTAACATTCATATGTGAAATAAAATTGTAATTGAAAATTAAGTCCATTAGGAGTTAGGACTGATATACATGATCATCTTCAAACACCCTCTGTCCACTGACCTGAGATGTAATGACAGCCCTCAAAACTTGACATGCATACATACACATGTACGGCATAAAAAAGTTTTAGCTGGCAATTTTACGCAACAAAAAAAGTGATTAATGCATGGGGAAAAATTTAAACCTTGGCATATTTTTGATTTTAAAGAATATTATGAATGAACCATCAAAGGACTGGACTGTGATCCACCATTGAATAGATTAAAAGTCCTCTGCTATCTGATAAAACAAAAAGCAAAAAAAAAAAAAGAAAAACAAAAAGAAAAAAAATTGAGGTACAGGTACATTTAAGTATTCTAAGAACTATGTGTAGATCCATTGGAATTTCTTACCAAACAGAGCCAGTTTTGTGTTTATCACTATGTATGTAAATCCTGTTCTCTGCCTTCGGGAAATACATTGAAAATCAAATCTAAATCTTTTATCAGATGCTTTCCTTAAAATTGCACTTGAGTCTTACTGAATATATCTGACAATATACACACATGATGTAGTATTGTCAGTGCTAATATTTAATAGCAAATGGCTGCTGCTGCTGAAGAAAGTATTGTATCTGGAAAGGAGGAATATACAGCGGACCAGACCGGGATTCGAACCTGGTCTCGTCCACTGTGTCTTTCTCCTATCCAGTTACGTTTGGTGCCCTACAATGCCCCAGGAACTGACAAATTAGAGGCCTGCCAGGGAAGAGCGTGGGTTGGGGTCTTTAGGGAGCCCCAGACCTCTAATTAGGTAGGAATGTGGCTTATTAATCAGGTGTTATAAGTATACCATAAATACAGAAAAAATAACATCCAAAAGGATACAACAGAGGGAGATCTTCATAAATGAACTTCTTCACCTCTGGTAATCTGTTCAAACGTCATCCACCACAGCTCTGACAAGATAGAAAAAAAAACTTTGATCATGCAAACCAGATATTAGAGGAAACTCGAAATGGAAAAAGAAAATAAAAGTTATTTTTTATTTACCTCGACGACTGCCCTATAAAACTCTTTTGGCTCCTCGTCTGTTGCAAATATACTATGGGTTATGACACCCAAGACTAACACAACTCGCAAGACAGACATGTTGAACATGACTGTTTTACGTACGACGTGTCACGCACCTGTTAAATCTTGCGGATTCCCTCGGGAATTTTCTGGAAGGGCTGACTAAATACAGCTTATTTGTTTGCTAAACGCAGCAGTGAGCATTTCTTGTGTTTCTTAAGGTTCATAAACCCTCTGCTCACTCTTATAAAATGTTGTCTGAACCTTGATGATTTTTCAAAAGAAATGTATTTTATAAGTAAAGTACAAACAATTATAGCATAGCTATAACGTTAGACCTAGTTTATATTTCACGTTTTATATCGTCAAGGGTCCTAATTCGGTGGGGTTCCTAAATCGGTGGTATTTCCTGTTGGGCACGCGCGTTTTCTTATAGAGCGAGATCTGACGTCATCGATTTTTGCGTAGTGTTTGTAAACACAAAGGCTTATGACACTGTGAAAAAAAACTCGAAATGTCAAGGAAAAGTGTAAGTAAATACCTGTTATTGTCACATTAACGTAAAATACCATATTTTCTTAATGCTAAAAATATCTAAATGTAATTACCTTCTAAATATAGATTTTTAAGCAATGATAAATCGAGATACATACTGTAGACGCAGCTTACCGTCTGCGCCTTCAAGTCACGTGACTGTCATGTGGCTACCATAATTAAGTAGAAATACAGAGGATGTCCAAAAGTTAGTGTCCGTTATATGTTTTTGAGTGTTTTGACAAATATAGTTGTCTTGGTTTATTGTTAGAAATTAAACAATTACATAGAAATTAATTCAGAAATCTAAAGAAAGCTAGTAAAGTATATATAGTATCATGTAGAATGAATGAATGAATAAATAAATAAAATAAATAAATGAATGAATAAATAAATAAATAAATAAATAAATAAATATTTTATTTCTTTATAGATTGCATCAGATAAAATAACAAAAAAATACAGACCCTACTCCCCAACGTCTATGACGAATGCCTATCATGCAATTAAGGAGCATCGAATGTCTGTATGGAAAGCAGCTAGGGTATACTGTGTTCCGGAAACCACACTTAGACAAAGAGCATTAGGGAGAGTTGACCCTGAAAAATTAACATCTGGAGTTTCTCCCATTCTTTCCCAAGAGGAAGAAGCTGCATTGGTTGAACATTTAAAGGTAATGGCCAGTTGTGGGTACGGATACACCAGAACAGAAGTGGTAAACATGGCCTCAGAATATGCCTGCAGTTTGCAGAAACGTGATAGAGATCATCCGTTTTCAATGAAATGGTTCAAGGGCTTTATGCAGCGGTGGCCAGAACTTAACGTTTCAAAGCCTCGAGCATTATCGGCTGCCAGGGCAAAGTCAACTTCGGAAGAAGTAGTCTCAAATTACTATCGTGAATTAGAAACCATTCTTAAGAAGTACGACCTAGTCGATAAACCTCAGTGCATATACAACATAGATGAAAAGGGGCTACAAACAGAACACAGAACACCCTGTATTGTGGGTTCTAAGATGTCAACAACACCTGCTATAACATCGCCCAGATCTTCTACAGTAACTGTCATAGGTTGTGGCAATGCGTTAGGCACACAGATGCCTCCGTATTTCATTTTCCAAGGGGCTCGAATGAGACAGGAATTGATGGATGGTGCAACGGAGGGTGCTCAAGGCACAGTGACAGACAGTGGTTGGTCGAACTCTGCAGTCTTTCAGACTTACTTATCTGAACATTTTCTTAAATATGTTCAAAGACCAAATGAAAACCAACCCATCCTCATTCTTTACGATGGACACAAATCACACATCAATCTAACGCTTGTTGACTGGGCAAAGCGACACAATATTGTTTTATTTGTTCTCCCTGCCCATACCAGCCATGTACTACAACCTCTTGACCTTGGATGTTTCGGCCCATTTCAAAAAATCTATAATGCAGAATGCCATAAATTTTTACGCGAAAATCCATCTTCAAAAATTACAAGATATAATATTTGCTCGTTAGCTTGTAAAGCTTATGCGCATGCGCTTTCACAAGGAAATTTGCAGTCCTCATTCCGGCGCGCTGGAATTTTTCCATTGGATAAAAATGCAGTGGACCATTCAAATTTTGCACCATCTGTAGTTTTTTCCACAGCAGAAAAATGTCCAGATCAAGATGCAACTTCTTCAACTTCTTCAACTCAAGCAAATTCAAGCACAATATCGGATCCTAAATCATTCTTTAAAGTACACACAAATCCTATTTTGAACAAAACAAAATCTGTTCTAGCTGAAAGAAGAAACATTAGCAAAGTTGTAAGTGGTAAACCAATTACAGAAGACGGTGTTGTGCAAGAAATGAAAAATTACTCTGAAACAAAACAAACGTCAAAAAGAAAAGAAAAAACTACTTCAAGATGTTCTACAAGTAAGGAATTATGTGGAAAGAAAAGAAAACACAGCATTTCTGAATCCTCTGATATCGATGATACAGAGGATGAAAAAGAGAAATGCTGTGTTTGTCAACACTTCTGGCCAGAGGAGATTAAGGAATGTGACTTAGTGGTTTTTGTAAAGTGGGCTCAGTGTAGCTTTGGAAACTGTAACCATTGGACCCACTTGCAGTTTTGCTGTAAAACAAGAGTAATAAGACGTGGAGATGAATTTATTTGTCCCTGTCACAATAAATAAAACTCTAATAAAATTATAATTTATCTCTTTTTTCATTAGTACAATTTAATATTCGTCAAACATAAGTTTATGTCCGTGGTTAGTGCTATAAGGGTAAAAACTTTTGACAAGTACCATACCACCGATTTAGGTACCTCAACAGTTTTGCTTACGTAAACAACAAGGAATTAAGAAATCGCGAGAAAAACAAATTAAAGTTTTTTAAATTAGGTAATATGGATATAATTGATTAAATAGAGAGTCCTTAAGAGGTAAGTCACATTTGTTTTATTTTCAGCGATCTTTTTAAGATTATTTTATCACGTAGTTTGCTAATACCACCGAAATAGGTTCCTCGAGGATATATTCTTTAATTAGACTTAATGTGTTTTAATAGAGAATAAGATTCCTTTTTGGATAAATTAGCATTACAAATACATAAATAAAAAAAATAACATTAATTTTTTAAAATTAACTCAGTAAAGTTAGGGCCTATAAGTGGTATTTATGCTTACCCCTCTTATTGGTCTACTCACCGGAAGTAAGTCTCTCTCCATATTGGTTTTTGTTGACATTGGTGAGGAAGAATCTTGCCTTCAAAACTCGTTGATTTTTCCAATTAAGAACCACGATGCCAGCTAAAGCAGAAGATATCATGAAAGGGTTCAAACTGTATCCTTTTAGATAGAGTAAATAATCAAGTATTGATGACAAATATCAAAATCAAGTATGGACAAAGTTCTACTAATAAGCTCTCATTTTTTTATGTATTGTGAAATAATTAAACAATGTAAAATTCTGGATTTTTGCAAAACATGTCATAACCGTCACAGTGATTTTTTATATATTTTGGGTTTAAAGCTAGGAATTTTCAGTATGAATATTAAATGCAAGTATATATTAACAGGTCCAGTACAATCACTAGATTTAGCTACTGCATTTACCTTCAGGTAGCTTTATTTAGCTATTTCAATGCAACTTTTCAAAGTTTTTCTTTTTATCAGGTAATTAATTAAAAGTGGACATATTTTTTTGCCTCATTTGTAAAATACATACATGTAGTTCAGCACCTGATCTTCATCATTAAGGTAATGATTTTTACTAGGCCTGTACAGATAGAGTGTCTCTACGGATCTGAATGTCTAAATTAAAAGTTTTAGTAAGAAGAAATTGCATGAGTCAGTTAATATATTAATAAGTAGGCCTCGATAGCTCAGTGGTTAGAGTGATGGCACAGTGCACCAGAGGCCCTGAGTTTCAGTCCTGGTTGAGCCTTTACGTTTCACCAGCTGTGACTTTTGGCACATAATATACAAATACCCACTGTTGACTAGGAACATGCCTTACAGCATTTCCTTAACTCATAGAATTTGAAGACAAATTTCTGTGAGGGAGGGGGAATATGTCTTAGGGTTCACATTTATGTGAAAGTCAGTCTGACAATATATCAGGTCTCAAAAGCTCAGTGGTTAGGGCCCTGGCACAATGTGGAGGCACAGGTGCTTAAAAGTCAAGTCTCAACCAGAACTGGAACCCAGGGTCTCAGGTGAATTGTCGCAAATGGTAAAAAATCAAGTTTCATCTGAGACCTCTGAATCGCTGTGATAGGGATCTAATTACTGAACTATTGAGACGTGATATATACACTATGAACTTGCAGTGACACAAGCAATGCACATGTCAAATCTTTTATTATTGCTTAACAAAATTAAGAAACTGGATGAATCTGAGAGATGCAGACAGTGGTAAAATATTATGGCAGTCAAGTGAGGACCTGTAAGTATTTCATATTTTTTATTGATAAAGAACTGTATGCGGTACATTGCATATCTTTGCCCCCCAAAAGTCAAATTTTGAAAAATTCTTGAAATGTGCTGAATTTTATAAATTGTATGAAAAATATAAATTAGCAGAAAATATTTTAGTTTCAAAGTAGTTTATTGACAATTTTAATGTTTATGACGTCATAAACTAGTCCGATTTTATATCATTCTTTAGAAAGAGGGCAAAATGGACAAAATTTCAACAATTTTAGCTTTAAAATTTATAGAGCGCAAGTTTGCTATATTTACATATTTCATTGATATTTTCATTTTACACATTATATCAAAATATTGAGCCTGATCAGACCTGCACTCAGTGACTTTTACTCAAAATATAGACGTAATACATGTACATACATTTTTCTGTAGAAAACATGGAAATTTTAAATTTACGTCATTTTCGTGACGTCATTGCTTATGAAAATATTCACTGCTTTGAAGTCAGCATATATTCCCCTGTTTAAGAACATAATTAAATATTTCTCCGTCAAAGTTTGATTTTGGGGGGCAAAAATTGGTTATTACCGGAAAAAGTTCTTTAAGCAATCAATTAATTTCAGTGTCATAATTTTGGAAAGTTTTGTCATATCACTTATGTGGATAGGGTATTCATAACTACAAACGTAGAGAAGAATTTATGAATTATATAATTTCATATTTTTTTTGTAGTTCAGCACCTGGTCTTGATCATGAAGGTAACTAAATGTTTTAATATGCACAATTCTTCATCATTAATGTTTAAAAAAAATTACAAAACACTGAAATTCGCAAGTTATTACCTTTTCAAAATAAAAGTAATCTTGATTGTAAATTAAAATCTTTTTTGTGGTACATATATCATGCCCCTCTAAAAATTAATATTTGCACATACATTGTATATAATATTTAGCTAACCATGATATACTATTATTTTTTTTTTTTTCTATTGTAGCACGGGTTCCAAAGAAAATTTTAAAATGTCGGGCAGTATCTCGAGAAATAAATTTTTCATCAAAAGAGGCTATGGACAAATTCAGATTAGAACAAAGAGTTTTATTTAAAGGGAAATGCTTAGAAGGTAAGGAAGAATCAGCAGATATACCGGTTATGTATTTCTTATTTCACCACAATCACAATGGGTTAAAAAATCCATACCGAAATGAGTAAAAGATTTTTAATCTGCCAATTTGAAATTAAAGACTGTAGAGGTACACATAACATTAAAAAAAACTTTTAAAAATTAAATTGTTTTTGTGTTATCAAATCAAAATTTGATAAAGAAGAAATATAAAGTATTAAAATTGTAATTTTACCTCTATTTCAGAGTGGTTCTTTGAATTTGGTTTTGTGATTCCTAGTTCTACGAACACCTGGCAATCAGTTATAGAAGCTGCCCCTGAAAGTCAAATGATGCCAGCAAATGTTCTTACGTAAGTCCCAGGGAAGTGAACAGGCAACTCAGTATCACTAAACAATAAACTTGCCCTTATAAAGTATCATGTGATGCTTGTATTAACTCTCGGTAGACATATAATGCTTAACTACTAATGTCTTTATTTCAGGGGGAATGTAATCATAGAAACACTTTTTTATGATGGAGATCTTCTAGTCAGCAAGTCCAAAGTGAAGATATTTTATGTTTAAAGAAGATGGTTGTTGGTCCATTGAATGAAGCCATTATTCCATTTTGCTGATGTGAAAGGTACATGTTCATTGATATTGAACTTTTCTGAATTATGGGGACTGGTCAGGAGTATATTCCACAGCTTGAATAATCTGTTGCACACTACTCAACTATTTCTGTCACAGCTGTAGACCTGCATCTAATTTTCTATGTGATTTATTGATATAATCAAATAGACTTGAATATGAAAAGCAGCAGTTCTTTTTAAAAACTTTGTCGAGTCTAACATTTATAAGTAAAGAATGTGTCTTTACTCCTTGCACCGCACTGTTGACAACGATAAAGTTATAGCTGCAGAATTTTATAACTTTGCAATGGCTTCATAGAAATGAAATTGTATTGAAAAAGCTTACATCTAGAAACGTGTAGCTGTTTTCTGTAGGTTATGGAAATCATTGCAAGAGGTTCTATTTGTGTATTTATTTGTTGTTAATTTTAAAATCTAATGTACAGTCCTTAATGAATGAAAATTTACTTATGACTTGTGATTAAGTTCAAAAGTATCGGTGAGTAAATGTGTACATGGATTTTGCATTTCATTGAGATTATTATATTTGCACCGGTCTTTTGATTTTGTGTGTTCAGTTGTAGCTTAAAACCAACTGTACATGTTTGAAAGTGATGTTTGAAATTTCAGACTGGGTTAATGAGGTAACTGTTTAGAATGTCCGACTTGCAAACAATTATTATATTTTGTACTTTTGGAGATTTCTAGATGTCACATGGTGTTTGTGATTTGTAGAGAAGATTCCTACATTCCCCATTGATTACCTTAATATAGTGTTGTGTTCTTTCAATTATTTTTGACTGTCTTGATATAAATGATTGATGCTGCTTTACGGAAAAAAAAATACCTGTTGAAATTCTTCTCCTTCATTGTTATTTTCAGTATATCAACATACGATAATGTGATTTTCCTTACAAGATGCATATTCTGTAGAAATGAGTTATTTTTGATCTGTCAAATAGTCTCCACTTTTCAAATGTGCGATCAGTGTGAAAATAAATATGTACACATAATACATTCTCAAATAACTACATGCATTAATTTTAATTTATTTTGTTAGTATAACTAAGATAAAGAAAGAAAGTATATTGTAATAAACTTAATTTGTAGCTCCTATGATGTATTGCATACATGAGCTGTATTTATTAATAAGCCATTGCCTTCTAGATGGCTTTTGCCCTCATTTATTTTTACATTGCTATAAAAAGGCAAGTGGAAGAATATTACATCCATATGGCAAAACAAGAAAGAGATATGTTCAAAATATTCTTGGTAACTCATTTGTAGTGTCTGTTTTTTCTGGGTGATTTTTTTATGCTATTAAGTGCATCCTGAATTATACTTTAGATTAGCAAATAATTGTAGCTAGCAAAATAGGATGGCATTATGCATTTGTTTGTCCAGCATGGAAATTTTTATACACAAGTAAGATGAAAAATAAGACCATGCATCTTTAATTAAAAAATAATGTTGATTTGCACTCTCCCAATTCAAGGTTAAAAAAAATTGGTAGGTAGATAGATGGGAATTTTTTTTATCCCAGAAAATTTCATATACCGGTACATGTCATTTACCTCATATTTTTATGGAATGAAAATTTTGAGTCGCAACATTTTTAGCCAGTTGGTTGGGTCAAGCAAAATATATTTTAAAGATGGCCCAATGGACAAATAATTTTTATTTATTTATTGATGAAGTAGTTTGAATAAATGTTTTCATAAAATGAGTGGACAGTGTGAATTTTATTTGTATATACATGTAGTGATTAAGCTGTAGTTATATTTTCATACATAATGTTAATGAAAAGAAACTTGGTGGTGTATGTATCTCAGTAGTGAAAGTTTATTAATGTACGTTTCTTTTATTTCACACAGTTAGTGATACATGTATTGCATATGTTATAAAGCATTTTTTTTCCTTGTCATTCTCTTAAACCAATATTTTTAGTCTAAAAAATTGATGCACAAAGAAGGCATATCTTTGTTAAAGTTGTAATGTTTTGGTATATGTTGCATATAAAAAAAATGTAATGAACTTGTTTACTACAATACTGAAGTAGTTACACATTAATGAATAATTCATGTTTAAAGATTTACACATTTGAAAACAAATTGAGAATGATACTGTCAGAGACAGGAATTTGAAGATAATGGAAAATGTATAATGAACTTGTGATATGTTATATAAATGTGTGAATTAATAGATGCATAATTTACATGTATGATTATGATGAATGGATGAATTAAATGATTTGATTGTTTCAGTAATCTTTTTTGTCTTTCTGCCTTTAAGAAGTTACATGTTTGTCTTTGATCCCTGTTTTCCCTCAATGGGCAGCATAGCCAATGTAAAGACATGTTTGTAAAACACTTATGCCCCTCTCCAAATAGTTGGAATTTTTTAAGTCTAAGGGGTGTAATTGTATCAAAATTTGCTTGATTTCACCCAAAACCTAAGTTGACCTAGATATTTTTATATTAAATCTATCTACCAAATTTAATTTCAATACGTGCAACCTATGAAAGAAAATGAACGGAAACTGCAAATAACTGGAATATTTCAAAGTCCAAGGGACATAAATCAGTCCAAAATTGCCTGATCGTATTCAAAACCAAACTTGACCTAGGCATTCTTCTAAAATTGTATACCAAATTTCATTTCAGTATTTGCAACCTCTGTGAACAGTGTGAAGAAAATGAACGGACACTGTTAGTGGACCAATAAACAGCAGCAAAAGCAATATGCCTTCCCTTTTTCGAAGGGGTGATAAAAAATTTGTATTGTATTTCTTCTTAAATTTTTTATAAGGAAAGTTCTTATTTCTATAGCTAAGGCAAGGAAGTGTTATGACTAATTTGGTTTAAATCGGGCCTGCAATTTTTGCTAAAGTCAGAAATTAATAAAAACAAGTTATGTTTGTGAAACACTATGCGCCTGGCTGCAACAAAAGTCAAAAAAGATATTTTAGCATATAGGTCACAGTCAAGGTCACAAGGTCATTGACCCTTATGTCATTTTAAAGAACTTTATAAGTGGAGTATGGCAGTATGCATACCAAATATGAAGTCTACCTTTCATGGTTCAAAATTTATGGCGAAGGTTAAAGTTTGTAGACACAAAGCTATTTTTAGCATATAGGTTACAGTCAAGGTCACAAAGTCATTGACCTTGGTGTCATTTGAAAGAGCTTAATTAGTGGATTATGCATACCAAATATGAAGTCTCTATCTTTCATGGTTCAAAAGTAATGGTGAAGGTTAAAGTTTGCAGACAAACAGACAGGACAAAAAAATATACGCCTCGGATCCATTGATCTGGGCGCATAAAAATTATAGCATCAGGTGAACAGAACAATGGAAGCACAGAAATTGTCACCAGAAAAGAGCAGAAAGATGCAATAAAACGTAAAAATTTAACTCTGCCATTCCATTCATTTTATTTCCATCATTTTTAAAAGACTCAAGTTTGAGTTCTGACTGCTGTTTTCTTGTTCTGATTGAATAATAAAATTTGATCACAGTTCTCTTTATAAATGGCAGTCAGTTAGAAAATATTCTAAGCTGTCAGATTTTTTTTATGTTCATTCAATGTATGTTTATGGAATTCACAAATTTCTTGTTCTGCATGTAAACATTGTGTGATGCACCATATTTTTCCTGTATTCCACAGTGCACCAATAATTAGCTGCAGAACTGTAGCGTTATGGATTTATATATTAGTCTTTGACCATAACACTACAAGTCCAGGCCAAAATAATGTGCAATTTACGGCGCAAGATTTTTTTGCACACTGTTTGGGAGAATTTCTCCACTTTCCAACATTGTTAAATCATAGACCTTTCCCTCAATACTTCTAGACAAATTTTTAAATAAATCTGTATATTTTATGCACCTCCCTATCCTATAGTTGTCTCTACAAGCAATAAACTTGCTTGAATTAGAATTTTCTGCAATCCCTCTGACAATTCAAATCAAGCCAGTTTATCGCCTGTAGAGGCAGCTCTGAAGGGTTGAGAGGAGGATAAAATATTAAGAATGTGTCTGGAATTAGGGGGTGAAAAATAGATGATTAAAAAAAGTTGGAAAGTGGAGAAATTCTCCCAAACAGTGCTCAAAAAAAATTTGCACCATAAATTGCACATTTTTTGCATTACGGTATTTGTAGCGTTATGGTGAAAGACATAATATGTAAAACCCTAACGCTACAGTTCCGCAGCTAACCAATAACTTGCCTCACTGGTGTTTTGCAAGTTACTAATAATTAAGATATTAAAGCAAAAAAATTAAGAAATGCAATTAAATTGATACTTGTTTAATAAATTCATATCATGCAATTAAACTTAACAATACCATTTAACGTAAATATGGCAAATATTTACAATTGCGTTTTTGCATCAGATGTACAGATTTTCAATTCAAACTGATAATGAATTTTAATATATAATTAGCATATATAAAACTTAAATCATGTGTTATTAACCAGAATCTTTGTTACACATAAACCTTAAAAATGCTTATACTGATCTATTATAATTGTGTCAAACATCCATCAACTACTGCATCACAGGTAACTTTTTAGATTCAGGTATGAAAGGAAGATAAAGCTAAATAACAGATATACATGTACATCTGAAAAAAAAACACAGATAGAGTTAGACTCTAGCAACAATTTGTACAGGATATGATTATTATTCTGAAGAGGCCATGCCTTTTACAAAAAAGTGCCATAAAACAGTGTATTTAGCCATTAAGGTTTAAGCTTTATAAAAAAAATTTAAACTGTATGGCAAAAGACAAATATGCAGTATAAAAATATCAGTTATGTAGGTACTTGTTCAATACTATAGCAACACAGTATAAAGTTTAAAAAAATAAAACAACTCAAGTCGTGCACCATTCATCATCAATTAAGAACCAAATAGTATCTGGTAGTACTTATAGATATACACGCATATACATGTAAATATAAACACCTGTTCACACATATACAAATTTGCTGGGATAAAGCTATTATGTACATTTATATTGTACATAGTTTTGAACTGCTACCACAGAAAAACAAAACAAAATAAAATCTCACATTCACAAACAGTTGCACACTCAATTCAAGAAAATTTACATGTATTATCAGATTATAATCACATCTTTAAAAATATTTATTTATAGCCATGTAATTTCAAAACGAGGCCAACATGAACTACTTCTTAAATTTTTTTTCTGCTTTTTTCTCAAAGAAAGTGTCTGTGTGTTGGGGGGGGGGGGGGGTGTTATATTTATGTATGGTTTTATTTCTTCAAAATGACTCAAAATACAAAGATTGATGTTTAGTGTATAAATTTAAAACTTTACATCTTTTTGAGTGCATGTATATGCAGAAATAACATTTCTAAAATGATGTCATAAGGACTTAGATTTGGATCACAATGCACCATTACTCCTAACAATGCACCAAATGGCAATTTCTGATGGTTTAAGGGCCATATAGTTAGCAAAATAAGCTTCAGAAAAAAGGCTAATACAGAGATGCAATGCCACATTATATATACAACCCTTCAACAGACTATCATATATAGGAAGCAGAAATGCTTGGACTAAATAAACTAAAACATTGTACCCTAAGTAGAGATACTTTTCTACAGTCTGGATTATTATGGGGAGGGCATACATTTTAATCTCTCATAAGCAGCCTTTTCTAGCGTCTCTCTGTGATTAGGATGAGCAACTTTGATCAGCTCATATGCCCTCTGTCTCAGATTTTTTCCAAAAAGGTAAGCAATGCCATATTCAGTCACGATGTAATGCACATGGGCTCTTGTTGTTACTACACCAGCACCTAAATGGGAACACAAAACATTTATCATTTTGCAGATTATCAAAATAATATTACTGGAAAATGTACCTAGATACATGTAAATGTACAAATCACTCTAGATACATGTAAATGTACAAATATGGAGAAGACATTTTTAAAGTTCAGTTACATGTATGGTCAAATCACTTTTTTTGTGGTGTCATATTTTCATGGTCTGAGGAATTTTTTTTGAAAATTAATCATTTGTGGTTTAAGAATTCCTTTGATACATGTCTTATAAATAAACATTTCAATATGGAGGAGACAAATAGCTCTACAACTATGAAATCAACAACAATTTACTCCCATAAAATTTGCTGATTTTACAGTTTTCAGTCTAAATATCATTTAGTAATCTGTGTGTGAAGATTTCCTCTCCATACCAGTATCCTTTTCATTTGAACATTATGCAAGGTCCATTTTTGTCATTCATTCTGGCAAATTAGTGTTCATAAAATACTGACAAGTCCATTACTCACCAGGTTTGAGATTTGTAACAATTCTCGATTCTTCTACACCTTTGCCACCACTGTTTTTTCTATGAACTGTGGAGGTACAGGCAATGATAGGTTTACCCTCCCCATCCAAGCTAACTGCTGCCCCTCTAATAAAATCAATCTGTCCACCAAACCCTGTAATCCAATCAAACATTTGCTTAACTTCTTCCTTACCTTGGAAAAAGTTTTTACTTGTAAAGTACATTTTCTTATTTCTACAAGACTAGTACAAATTTAAACACAATTTTCCCTCAAGTATGTCCCAATTGCTGTTTCAAAGAATAAAGCTATCCCTTCAATGGATTTTACCAAATGTTCTCACAATTCCACCCATCTCACAGTTATGTATATTAAATCCTATTTGACTTTTTACCTGAGTACATATAGGTTCCTAATGAATCTGAGCACACCTGTCCAGTGATATCGATTTCCAGACAGGTATTGATAGCTGTCACACGAGGATTCTGGCAGATTACTGATTGGTTATTTGTAAAGCTGCAGTCACACATAGCTGTCATAACAAGATAAAATTCATTCAGTTTCTTTTATATGTACATGTACACATGTATGTTTTAAAGTCACTATTTTTTTTTCTATCTGTAAACTTAATACAAAGTCAAATTACTTTCATTAGTTTGAAATCTTACCAACAAAAGAATTATCATCCATGAAATCATATAATCTCTTTGATCCTATTGCAAATGAGCTAACAATTTTTCCTGTTTGAATAGCCTTTTTAGCATTAGTAATAGCCCCACACTCCACAAGATCCACCACAGAATCACTGAACATCTCTGAGTGAATTCCTAGATCCTTGTGGTTTTGAAGTTTATGCAGCACAGCTGCTGGTAGATTACCAATACCTGCAAAATTTTTCACATATCTTCATCATTGAATCAGAGTCACCCAATTCTCCAATACATTTTGTATGATCATAATTTTGTTTTTCTTTATTCATTCTCTACAAGCTAAAATAAATTGAAGTTGACCAAATTTGATCAAGGCCTTTAAAGAATTTTCAAAATTACAGGTAATGCTATGTCTGTTCATACCTGTCTGAATGGTTGCCCCATCCTCCACCAGATTGTCAGCAATCAATCTGGCCACCTCCAAAATTTCGGGGGACAAAGTTGTGGGTGCTATTTCTGTCAGTGGTTCATCAGCCTCCACCAGTATATCAATGTGAGAGCTGTGTACAAGTCCATCCCCAAATGTACGAGGCATTTGTTTATTTACAAGACCTGCAAGTAATATGTGTACAGTAAGTACTGGGAATCAATTAAATTGGGGGGAGGGTCAGTGTTAAAATTTACTAAAATAGACTGGCTTGCGGCGATGTCATTTTGTTGGTAACTGGAAATCAACAGATTCAGTAAACATATATATACTTTGAGTAAATGACGTTTTTTTAGTAATTGGGGCCTCGCAGTTTTTGAGATTTTTTAAATAAGATATTCCCAATAAATCCCCATGTTAAGGTTCTTTCAGTAAATTCAATTGTTTTAATTGTAGTCTAATCTGGAATGTCATCTAATCCAGCCAATATCATTGGAACCAGTGGTGTCTGGATGAGACAAATTTTACTGTATGATAATATACAGTTATGGAATGGGTACAAGGGAAATAGAAAAATTATGGTTCCCTGTGGGAGGAAACTATTTCCCGAGGCGGCAAAGCCACCAAGGGAAATAGTTTCCTGCCGAGGGGAACCATAAATTTGCTATTTCCCGAGTTCCCATTCCATAACTGTTTTATTATACCGTTTTATCATAGGCGATTTAATTTTTTTACCAGATATTCCGACATTAAAAAAAACACTGTAGAGGCATAATTACAAATGTATGCGGTTTAACACATTGTATGATAAGTAATACATCGTGTCCTAAAACAATTATAAAATTATTTTTAAGGCAAAAAAAAATTAATTTCTTGGTTCTCTAGCCCTCCCTCATCTCTTCCAAGGGTTCCTCATTGACCCTTTTTATTGCTAAATCAATAAAATATAAACACCAAATCACCTCCCTCATCATTTTTTGAGGTTTTGTACAATGTAAAAAGCTGCCTCATCATGTTTTGGGGGCAATAAAAAAGAAAAAAAAATGCCTCCCTCCCTCATCATATTTCTTGAAAAAAGGCCTGAGAACCAAGTAATTAACTTTGCATGGCCTAAAAAGTATTTTCACTGACATTTCGAAGAATTGTTGTTGTTTTCATTTTGCTAGAATTCAAGTATCATTTTGACATCGCATGTCGAAATGTTTTGACGTCATAGTTACATTGCTAATAACATGACGTCACAGACTCGAGATTCCTTGAACGCTCCGTCCACTGAACACTTTGATTGGTTAAAAATACTAATAAATATTCATGAGGGAGTAGTCCCAGGGAGTAGCTCTGATTTTTCAAGGAGTAGTCTTCAGATGAGGGCAAAAGTCTCTTCTCGAGGAAATAGACAGTTTTATGGTATTAATTTTATATAAAGTAATAATTACGGTAGAGGTATAATAAAAAGTTTAATGCTATTAATTAATGAAAGCTATATTATAAAGGAGCTAACCAATAATGAATTGAGCATTCTGAACAGCTGCCCTAGTGCAGTCTATGCCTGGCCCTAGTGAACAGAATCCATGTTTATCTGGAGGACTGAGTGAAATCAGGGCTACATCCAGACTGAGAAGTCTACGTCGAAACAGCAGAGGAATCTCACTCAAGAATATAGGTATGGTATCAGCCCTTCCTTCTGCTACTGCAGTCCTTAATGATGCACTTATAAAAAAGGAATTGGGTCGAAAGATTCCTGTAAAGAATACATACAGTCAATAACAAAAAAGTTCTGACATAATACTTCTCATTTGTTTGATTTCAGTACTCAACCATTTCAAGATAAATTTTGGCAATGAATATTGAACATATCATGCGGGTTTACAAGTTCTCTTCCACAATAAACTTCAATCACACACTGACCTTCATATTTAGGATCTGCGTAAGGTGCCCTGGCCTGAATGGGAGCCTCTATGACTTCTACATCCTTCAGCTTAGCCTTTTCCCCATAGTCACACATAGCATCCACCAGAGAGAGCGGACTGGAAGCTCCACCCTGGATATATATTCTGTGTCCTGTAAAGAATATCACAACTTATCTTACTGACTCTTCTGCTTTTCATGCTTCTTTTTATTGGGAAAAATGAAAATTTTTAACAAGGCCCATGTCAGATCTACAATATACATCATAACATGTAGGTCTATAGGACAGTTGATCTCTTTGAGTTACATCCCTTGGCAGGTCATCCAAGAGTCAAGTAGCCTGAAGGAAAACAACCCATTTTTTCTTCATTAGTACTTTTCATCTTTGTCAGTTTGTTTAATACTTTGAATTAGAGGTTAAATGAAAAAATTTTAACATTTGGCCAAAAAAGGTAATTATGGGAGAAATATTTGTGTGGATATTCATGAATTTGCCAGGATTCACTTATGCATCTTCCGCACCTGATTATCAAATCAGCATTGCCAATACGAATTGCAAATTGTTAATGCCACAAAATTAAACAAAAGTAAAATCTGCTAACCAAGCTGTTAATTAAGCAATTAATTTAATTAGCGTTTTCCATTCCGTACCAGATTGGATGACTTCCACCGCTTCCTCTGCGGTTGTCCATTTTGGCTCCTTGTCTAAAATGGGATGCAAAGGCTCTGGTGAATAGAGGTAAAACGATCTAGATATGCAAGCATGGTGCTTCGAAGCATTGACAAACAAGCGTGGAATTTTCTGCAAGATATTCATGGTGCCTTGTTTATTGAGGTCACTTAAAATTATTCATGTCGTTGATCCGTGTAAGAGTAGTTCCCCTTTTAGAATGACGGCGTCGATCAAATCGTTCCAAGACTGTTTCGCCACGTTGATTTCTATACTAAGGAATTCCAAGGAACTTTTGAAACATTTGTGAAATCACAAAATTTACCAAAACCAACAACATAAAAACTAACGACTTTTCAACTTTATATACAACTATCCTCCGCGATATACTAAAGTCGCTTTCTGGCATCATTAACAGCTTTTTTCAATAAAAATGGAACTGGTAAATATATTACCTCGTCATAGGTCATTATGGTATTCACTATTGGTATTTGATATTGGTAAAATACATGTATCTATCGAAAATTTACTTACCTTGTCATTGGTTATTTGCAAAATTATTTTGTTAAAAAGCATTCTGATTGTACACATAATAAGTCACATATCTATGTTGTTTTCGGAGACCTAGCTCCAACAATCTATTGGAATTCCCATGAGTACCAATTGCGTCCCGTTATTTATTTATCTTTTTTCCATTGACTTTATACACAAATATACATACACATACACAGTCACACCAAGGCTTGGAGAGTTAAAAATGTACAATTTTGAAATATCATGAATATTAAACAAAAAATATGAATACACAAATCACACAAATATGATAAAATAGATGACATTATATCTAGATATTTATGCTTTCAAATATGCTTTTCCAGTAATTCCATCTTCTTTTATACACATTTAGTTCATTTTTAGCCTTATACAGTTTTTCTTCAAATTTATAATACACATATAAGTATTTAAGGACACTTTGAATAGTAATACTGAAATGTTGGTTTTTTCTTGATTGTTGAAATATGTATTGTTTAATAAGTAACAATATAAGATTGGTAGCTGTGTCTTCTGTTGAAGAACCAAGTATAACTGTACATACATCAAATTTTATTATTTTTCCAGTTTTTTTCAAATATCCATTCTTCTAAAAGAGACCAAATTGGGTTTACTTCCCTTACCAAAATACTAACCTTCTGGCAACATCTTCTGGCATTATTGCCGCAATACTGCAGCAACATTCTGGCAATACATTGCAGCAATATTGCGGCAATATCGTTTTTCGTATGTAAATTAGATTTGCGGCAATATTGCCAGAAAAGTGTTGCGGCAATGTTGCGGCAATATTGTAGCAACATTCTGGCAGTATATTGAAGCAATATTGCGGCAATATCGTTTTTCGTATGTAAATTAGATTTGCGGCAATATTGCCAGAAAGGTGTTGCGGCAATGTTGCTGCAAAGCAATTGCAGTACATGTATTATTTCAGGTTCTGCTGCAGCAATATTGGGGCAACACTGCAGTACTACCTATATAAACTGCATGGTATTTAAAAGAAAAAATAATCTATCAGTCTAACAATTAACAAATTGTGCTGAGGAACATAAAAATCAATAGCATAATAAGCTACAGAGTCAGTAAGAAATAGCTACTTAAGCTTATGCTATTCTTTGAAAAGATAGAAAAATTTTGTTGAAAAAGGATGTGTTTTTGAAACACTATGCCCCAAGCGGCAACAAAGTTTGAAAAACCGTTTTAGCATATAGGTCACAAAGTCACAAGGTCATTGACCTTGATGTCATTTGAAAGAACTTAATTAGTGGAATATGCATTTTAAATATGAAGTCTCTGTCTCTTATGGTTCAAAATTTTTGGTGGAGGTTTAAAAAGGCTATTTTTAGAATAGAGATCACAGTAGAGGTCAGAAGGTCATTGACCTTGGTGTCATTTGAAAGAGCATAATTAGTGGAGAATGCATACCAGATATAAGGTTACCATCTTTCATGGTTCAAAAGTTATGTCGAAGGTTCAAAAAATCTATCTTAAGCATATGGGTCACAGCCAAGGTTACTTGTCAAAGACCTTGGTGTCATTTTAAAGACCTAAATTAGTTAAGTATGCATACTAAATATATAGTCTCTATTTTTCATGGTTTTTAAATTATGGCGAATATTCAATAAAAAACTATTTTTAGCATATAGGTCACAGTCAAGGTCACAAGGTCATTGACCTTGGTGTCATCTGAAAGGACTTAATAAGTGGAGTATGCATACCAAATATGAAGTCTCTATCTGATCTCATTGGTTCAAAAGTTATCACTTATGGCGAAGGTTCAAGTTTGCAAACAGACAGGACAAAAACAATATGCACCCCAAATCTATCAATCCGGGCACATAAAAAATCTGTATATAAAAAATATTAATATGCCACAGTGAAAATGTCCAGCAACTCTGCATCATCTTTCAAATAACCTTAATTAGCTGCCCATCACAAATTCCCCAATACCAATTAATCAGTATAATGTATAATATATAGCTTGTTTGTAATTTCCAGCATATATATAAAATCATTATTTTCTTGCAGGTATTCAAATTTATGCAATAAATTAATTATTTATGTTCATGGATTTAATTGATAACATTACATTCATCTTTTCATGCAACAATGGTATGATATATATTAGACATACAAGTATTATATATAGTATACATGCATCACAAGCACTAGTTGAAAAACATATAATTTTTCTTATTTTATCTCCATAGAATCATTCATCTGAAAAAGAATATGGTTTTGACTTACCAAGTTATACACATGTACCATGAAAACAGAGTTAGGCATTCCTAATAATTCTTTCAAAAGGCTATGCCAGGGAAAATGCTGAAATTCTTTTTTTCTGGCTATTCCACATCATTCAGTCTTACTAGTCATCATGTCTAATCCTATTGTACACAATTAACATATCCAATTAACTTGATACCATTCCATAATGAAGCAAAACATGCTTGCCTTTGAAATCCCTCCATTTTTTTAAAAAAGAGGAAGTAAATGACTGAGCATGCTCACAAATGCCTAACGGGTAATCCTAGATCTTCTGGTAACATTCTGGCAATACTGCCAGAAAGTTTTTTTCTGGCAGTATTGCCAGAATGTCACCAGAAGTTGTTGCCGCTAGGGGTGATATTTCACTAACCCAAAAAGCTTGTTTCTGGTGACAAAAATGTGTTGCGGCAATGTTGCCGCAATATAGCGGCAATATTGCTGCAATAATTTTACTTTGGTAAGGGTTTGGGACAATAAAAGAAAATATGTGTAATTGATTCAACATCTTGCTGACATAGAGAACATAGCTCATTTTCCTTATTTTTAGATAAAAATAAGTATTTGTACCAAGAATCCTATGTATAATTCTAAAATTAAACCATAAAAGTCTTGTGTCTTTTGTTATTCAATAATATTTTTTATGAATCAGTTTCCAATTAAATTCCTGATGCAACTGCAATTCTTTAGCCCATTTCGATTCACACTTTGGTGAAGTATAATACACAGAGTCATGTATGTATCATAAATTGTTTTAGAACCTTCTTTATCTTTGTTGAGAATTTCCACAAATTTTGGCAGACAAGGTCTCATGATAGATTTAATCCCTATATTTCTAACATTAGACCAAGAATGCAAAATTGCTCTTTTTATACCTTCGTATAGAGTAAAAGGAATCTTTAAGGAGTATTCATGGGCAAGATCATCAAAGCATAAAAATTTACCATTATTGTCAAATATTTACATTCTATGTATTTTTCCTTATGAAATTCATTAGAAATCCACGACATTCAAATTTCTATAACACACGCGAAACCTTGTCACCGCGCGTTAGAATACAAAGTAGGAACTATATGCATTTTCTATAATCTGGGAACACCAAAATGTACAATGTTTTAACTCAATTTAATTAATTAAATTAACGTAAAAATACTACAAATGTTCGTTTAAAATCAATTTGTCACTTTTTTTCCTCGCAATGTTTGTTTGCGTTATTTAACTTTGCAACGTCATATGACGTCACAAACGGCTCTTACGTCTATTAACCGCGTCAGTTTTGAAGGGCGTTAAATTCACATTAAAGATAAACGAAATAAGCAATCACGAAGAAGGAAAATTAGAGAATGTAAATGTAAGCATTGAATTCATATTTTTGGCTGTCTTCGGTCCTAAACACACCTGGCCGTGCCGATTACCGCGCTAACGCGCGGTATTCAATTTGTCGGCACGGCCAGGTGTGTTATAGGACCGAAGAAGCCAAAAATATGAATTCAATGCTTAAATAAATCACCAACTACAATAAATCCCTTTTTATACAATGGTTTTGAAAAAAACATACTTATTTTGAACCATAATTTTATTGTTATACCAGAGAGGTTCTAATAAAATATCTCCCTGGTTCAAGTTGCATGTTACCAAACTTAAAAATTCTGAAAATATATCCAATACTTTTTTCCAAAAGCTATTTTGTGTGTTCTTTGCTTTAACTTTTGTATACTCTGGTCCAAAATGGGCCAGGTGTGCAATATTACACTTTGTTATTTCAGTGAACAGTGGAATCCAATCAGATTTTGTAAACAATAATCTTTTGATCCAAGTCAATTTTAGAGATTTAATAAAATAGTCAATATTTGTCATAAGCCCTCCATTCTCTTTGGAAAGTTGCATTGTTTTTCTTGAGATTTTCTCTGTTTTGTTATTCCAGATAAATTTATAAAAAAGTTTTTCCAATTCTTTTATCCACTTTTTATCCGGCTTTGGGAGAACAGTAAATAAATGTGTTAATTTGGATAAGAATAGACTTTTTATTACTTTAACCTTCCATAGTGGGGTTAAATTTCTTTTTGACCAAGAATTGGTTTCCTTTTTAATGTTTTGAAGACATTTCTCAAAATTAAGTTGTTGCATATTTTTTAGGTCAGCAGTATATGTGATACCAAGAACTGAAAAAGGTTCTACTGTCCTCTGAAGTCCTGTTTCATTATAAAGAGTTTTTCTGGAATTTATTTCAGAGCCTATCCATATTTGATTTTGTTTGATTTTGTTTTGGTAATATTTGGTTTAAGTCCTGACAATTTTGAAAACTGAAAAAGAAGATCTAAGGCACTTTTTAGGCTCTTTTTCTGAACCATCTAAAAACATAACTGTGTCATCTGCATATTGAAGTAAAAATA